GGGGCTGCACATGTCATTATCGGTTCATAGAGTTACATAGAAAGAGTAACAGTCACTCTTATAAATACATAAACAGCCCAACATTCGGGTATTTAATAAGATAACCCTAAAAAGGAATCTCACAGCTGAACCTTCAAGAGCCTGTCCAGCCCCATCCGGCGATAAAAGTTGACCTTGTTATTGTCAACTACAAGCGCAGCGGCGTCTCCACCATCCCCAACGGGGTCAACACAAATTCTAAACGGCTTCTTGCCCCTCGGAATATCTGAAAGCTCAGCTAGAGCATCCGCAACCATGGAAGGATCGGCATCTGGCGGCGGTAGGCTTGCAGTACCACTCATCGTGTCCTCACTAAGGCCCTTGGTAGGACCAGCTTCGTACTCCGCAGCGATATCGGGATATGCAGGATTTGCAGCATCCTTAAAATGGTCGGTGCCCTTTGTGAAGACCCCCGGTGATACTAGAGTCGATTCAATTCCCCAAAGAGACAGCTCATGAGCATAACACTGTGCAAGAGAATCCTGTGCGGCTTTGGCGGCGAAATAAGGCCCAATCATGGGAGACTTTCCACCATATGTCGAGCTACTGCAGATCCAAATCAAATGTCCAGATCGTGCCTTTCGCATATGTGGTAGTGCCGCCTGGTTGAGTCTCTGGCAACCAACCACGTTAATGTCGTAGAGCTGAAGCAGCTGCTTTGCACTAAAGCTCTCGGCAGGACCCCAGCTCATGTGGCCTGCGTTGTGGACCACGGCGTCGATCCGCCCGGTCGATCCAACGACGCTATTGACAGCTGCATCGACGGAGTCTTGCGATAGGAGATCAAGGGGAACAGCCCGGAGGTCCACTTTGTGTTCTTTGGCGTATTTTGAAATGGCATCTTCGTACTCTTTGGTGTTTCCGCTGTGCGAGTACATGCCCGCGAAGACGGTATGGCCTCTTTTGGCAATGGCTCGAGCTGCCAAGGCACCGAAGCCGGTAGATGCTCCTGTGATAAGATATACTTGAGACATGTTGCGGCGCTGGATGGGATTGTTATGAAGCGTGAAACTTGTAAATGATAAGTATATGAATGGTGTAAGTTAAGCTGCTAGTGCTGAATCACGGTGGCTGTCTTTTGATTCAATCAATTCTAATTGCTATTTTCTTTTGACGACCTTGAGACAGCGAATGTTTTATATTTTACTTTTCTATGAGTGTAACTCTCTGCTTACTGCTTCGGAACGTCAGGAAAGCCTTCCGTCGAGATGGACGAAGCGTGAAGGTATTCCCGAGTGGGGCCGATCGGGATAAGACCTTGTCGGGTTTACAATCACAATCGTGGCCAGCATTCCCGAACCCTGTCACTAGCACGGCTCGCGCGCCGGAAGTAAGAGTTGCCACACAGAGAACCAAACAGACTCAACTTTTAACGTCAACGTCATTCCGGGGATAAGACGGCTCAGCAAGGGTCATTGAGGCTTCACTTGTTAAGTATACTTTAGTAAGGCTTGTAAAGTGTTTTAAGGTTATCTTTTGTATTGCTGAATCGCTCATGAACGCCTGCTAGAGGAAGTCACGAGGGTCCACTTTTCTATGTTTACCACTAACAAAATCTGGTCTGCAATGACTTCTCGATACAAACATCATCGTCTCTGCAAATGCAGCGAACTTAGATTAAGCGTAAATGTTACTATGTGATACCTGACATGTGTATGCCAAATGTTTCATGAGATTTCGATCTTTCAGATGCTCTGCTTTATAATGCATCGCATGAATAAAAAGTACATCCATATAGTTATCAAGGGTAGGCTCAATACAGTGGTCGCAACAGCAATCAAAGTCAAGAGACACATTGTTGAGATGTATAGAATACGCTCAATTCTACAGTAAAAAGCATTGCTATATTATTTTGATTCAAATTAAGCTTGTTTGAACTAAGCTCCGGAATGATGCATCGTCGCCAAATCTCCCGCAGACGAATAAGCAGCCGATGATCTTAGCTTAACCTTGATGCAAATAGGCGATACGTAGCTCGTGCGCTTGCCACTCTCTTCATGGATGTGTAAGTCGAATATCGTCTTTCCATTAAACTGAGAGGTGTCAAACACACGAGATTGTGTCAGTAGAGCGACGTAAATATTTAAATGTTTATTTCTGTATTTTGTAATCTATATATATTTTTGATTATTCAATTTTTCTCAGCTCAATTGTGGTCTTCAAGAAGCTCGCGTCTCGGAGTTAAGAACCCCCACCAAACTTTGGATGAAGTCTGAGAAGAAGCAGCAATAGCAGAATGCACCAAGTCAATCAAGTAGAGCGTGTTACTGTTACTACAATTCCTACTGTCACGGAAAGATTGAATGCAATCAAAATTCATAATTATTTGCCATATATGTATTTCTGCTCTATAGGTGCTTGCAGATTTAACGTCGCATACGCAGCCTCATCAAAGCTCTGCTACATACTTTACACCAGGGCAACAATAAACTCACCCATTCACAGTAACACTTCTATAAAAAAACGACCCAAATAGGAATTACGCTTAACCTTGTTCGAAATCGGGTTGCACAAGTGCAAGGTACTGCTGGCCTTGACATGTTCAGCCCGGACTTTTCGCGCTTGGGAACCCACCCAGACCAACTCAAAGTCCGAGTCCAACGACAAGAGACCCTGCAACTAGCGCTACTGCCCAAAGGTTGCTCGGAAATACTGATATTGAAACAGCGCATTGGTTGAACTAGAAGATCATTCAGCTTTCAATTTCTCTATTTTTCTTAAAATATTGCGTCTTTTTGGTACGTTATATCGGATTTGGTGTGATTAGAATAAACCCATCTCCGATGCTTTGTCATGTCTTGGAAAAACATCTTGTTGGTGTGTGCATACAAGAGGCATCTATGATATGTCAAGACACATATATATATCAACCAACGGCCAACTGTTGAAACGAACATCGAACTCAACTGCCAGCAACATAACAATCTACAACATCATCACCCAAGTGATACACTACTCTCAAACTACAGCATCTTCCCACTATAACAAAAGACATCACCATCAACATCACCATGTCTCTCCCAAAGACTTACAAGGCCATGGTCACCCTCGAGGCCAACGCCCCCTTCACCCAAGAAGAGCGTGAGCTCAAGATGCCCGGCCCCGGTCAAGTCCTCGTTAAGGTCCTCGCCTGCGGTGTCTGCTCCTCAGATGTCTCCGTCATCAGCGGCCACGTAGGCCCCGTGTTCCCCCGAGTCACCGGCCACGAACTCGTCGGCGACATTGTCGCCGTTGGTGAAAACGTTACCCGCCTTACCGTCGGCCAGCGAGTCGGTGGTCCCTGGCACGGTGGTCACGACGGAACTTGCCGCCAGTGCCAGCGCTCCCAATTCCAGTACTGCGACAACCAGGCCGTCAACGGCGTTAGTTTCGACGGCGGTTATGCTGAGTACGTTCTGCTAAGAGATGAGGCCGCTGTGCGCGTGCCCAAGGAAGTCGACCCTGCGGAAATTGCGCCGTTCCTGTGTGCTGGCGTCACTGTCTTTAACGGAATCCGCAAGCTGCATGTTGAGCAGGGAGGAAATGTCGTTGTCAACGGTCTCGGTGGACTGGGTCATCTTGCCGTGCAGTTCGCCAACAAGATGGGCTACGAAGTGATTGCCCTCTCATCGGGCGACGACAAGGCGAAATTTGCTAAAGAGCTCGGCGCCCACCACTACATCAACACCAAGACTTCCGATGCCGTCGCTGAGATCCTTAAGCTGGGCGGTGCTGACATCATTGTGCAAACCGCTCCCAACCCGGAGATGGTCAGCGCTCTCGTCAAGGCCTTGGCGCCTGGAGGAAAGCTCTTGAACCTGACTCTTCTCGGACCTGTTCCCATTGACACTGTTTCTCTGGTAATGAAGGGAACGAGTGTTCACGGCTGGGCGAGTGGACACGCTATTGACAGCGAGGAGGCGATTTCGTTTGCTGTCAGACACGGGATCCGATGCTTGGTCCAGCGATACCCTCTGGCGGAGGCGCAGAAGGCGATTGATGATTTGATTGCGGGAAAGCCTCGGTTCAGGAACGTGTTGGTGATGGACCAGTGAGGGGGAGGCAGCTGAAATAAACATCCTTTTCCATGTGCGGCACTTGTCTAAGTGCATCATCTAAGTTTCAGTCGTGAAGTGAACCAACAAGGTTCCAGGGCCATGTGACGGCATACTCCACCTTGTTCTCCAGGAACATTCCAGTCACTGACAGCTTGTAGATCGCCTCACCTCACTTCAACCTCATATGTGTCATTCCAATCAAAACCAGCTGAATATCTCATACGGGCACTATTTTCTATTCCTTTTATCTGTATCAAACTATCTCTCTCAGTTGTATTCCACGATATCCAAACATGCAGTCTTCCACCTCAAAGTGTCAATTTCCCCTTCTCGAATGTTCCATCTCCTATCATTAGAAATCCCCCTCCAAAACTCCGCCGGTGCGGGACCCCGCCACAGCCGCTCTGATGTAGATTTCAGGGTCCAATTACCGCTTTCTGCCAGGCCCAATCCAATGCTCCCAATATCATTGGAACCTTGAAATGCCAAACATCCACGGCGCCAACCCAAACCTGCTCCTTTGTCTTTGTTCCCTTTCTCTCCCCAAAATAATCACGCGATAAATCTTGCGACAAATCGTATCGCTAGCCATCTCTTATCAATGCCTTGGTGAAGATAGACGTTCGTTCATTTACCAGTCCATTTTCCCACCCCCTCCGCGGCCTGTGTGTGATGCGCAATCGGGCACCAGCTCTCTACAAAGTCTGGTGATACAAAGACACAACGTGCGACGGCAGAGGTATATAAATCCTGGAAGGATTGGCTGGCCGGAACAGCGCAGCGCAATCGAATCCCCTCTCGTGGGCATGCCTTTCTCCCGCTGTTAGGCATAACATCAATCCTACCTCGGCTTCTTTTCGTTGCGATCAAACCCGTTTATATCGCCCTCGCTTCTCCATCCAACCTACCTTATATAATACAATACAAATATCGCCTCCCATACCAACATGTCTAAATCGCTGCAACTCAAGGAAGAAGGCAACCGCCACTTCCAAGCCGGCGACTACATCGGTGCCGATGGCCTCTACTCCAAAGCGTAAGTCCCAATTCAACCTCTCTCTCTCTCTCCCCTCAACAACAAACCCCCAAATCTCACACAAAAGCATCATCAACAGCATCATCGCCGACGCCAAAAACCCAGCCCTCTACACCAACCGCGCCATGGCCCGCCTCAAGCTTGGCCACTGGGAATCCGTCATCGCCGACTGCCAGACCTGCCTCGCCCTCTCCCCCAGCAACATGAAGGCCCACTACTACCTCGCCCAGGCCCAGCTCTCCATCCGCGACTTCGACAGCGCCCTCGAAAACGCCCTCGCCGCGCACAAGCTCTGCGCCGCCACAAACGACAAGTCGCTCGGCGCCGTCACGGCCATGGTGCTCAAGTGCAAGAAGGACCGGTGGGGGGATCGCGAGAAGAAGCGTCTGCGGTTGGAGCGCGAGGTGGAGGAGCGCATGCTGGATTTGTTACGGAGGGATCGCGATGAGATGCTCATGGCGGAGGAGAGCGAGATTGAGCGCAGGATGATTGAGGAGGAGGCGAATGAAAAGATTGCGACGCTGAGCAGTGTTTTTGAAGCGTCTAGGTCGCAGAACCAAAAGAAGCGCGAGGTTCCTGACTGGGCTATTGACGACATTAGCTTTGACATCATGGTCGATCCCGTCATTGTAAGTTTTCTCACCTTGGATATTCACTTATACAAAAGAGACAGTATACTTATATTTCCCCACAGACAAAAACAGGCAAATCCTACGAACGCGCCACCATCATGGAGCATCTCCGCCGCCACCCCTCCGACCCCCTCACCCGCGAGCCTCTCTCCGCCTCTGACCTGCGGCCCAACCTAGCCTTGCGGCAGGCGTGCGAGGAGTTTCTGGAGCAGAATGGCTGGGCCGTCGACTGGTAGCTTTCTATCTTTCGCCGCAGACAGCTCATGTAGCTCGAGTGGTATCACTCAGCTCATTCGAGCAACAATGGCTTCTCTTTCTGCCTTCGACATGTTTTCGATTATATTGTAGCGGGCGATGCGAACAACGATCCCAGCTTCTCTTCTTGTGGAATTTTAGATTGGTATGGTATAGGAGCGGCATTGGCAATCAGTGTGATAAAAGGTATCGCATGGCGTTTATAAGATTTTTTTTTTCTGTTTCTAGCAGGTAGCGTTGTCATTTTTACCTGTAAATACACTTCTTTCTAGCTACCAGATGGATAATGGATCCGTACTCTTCTTTTTCAATAATCATATTTATCAGGAATAATAGCTGTCCCAATCATGTACATCATGTATTGCTAGTCCAAGCACAAGCTCGTCATGAGTTATCCTGTTCTATACCCCATATACAAAAGCACATTGCCCCCCTTCCCAACCGTCATTTGTGTTTGCACAAAAGCACGATGCCGCCCTTTTTTCTCCATACGCCCAGAGCTAAACGCATATATCTTTAAGCCCCTTTACTTTGACTTTGCTCGCACGCGATGTGGGTATCCGCCATGTCATGACTGTCCGTCCCAGCCCAAACCAAGAGTAGCGCTCCTCTCTATACCATGGACCATGTAAGAGAGAGACAAACAGAGAAAAACACAAAGAGATAAGAGAGAGAGAGAGAGATTAAACAAAAGCAGCAAAACAAGAACAACACGTCACAGATAAATACACAGTGTGCAGCGTCGAAGCCAGAAAACCGCAAGACGCATGTTCATCAAATGATACCGAAAAACGCCGCCAGAATGCAAAATGTCACCACCACTTCCCTAGTTTCCTAGCCTAGATGAAAGCTGGGGGTGGAGGCTGTGATCCTCCATCTGGTGGTCCCGGCGCTCTTCTGCCGTCACCACTAGGCTCCTTGACGAGCCCGACCTGTTCCTCTTCAGAAGGCTGGGGCGTCCGTCGAAAGACTTTGTTGAAGGAAAACGTGCGCCGGTTCCCGTGGGGTGGCGGTGTTGGACCAAGAAGCTGGGGGTCGACGAGACCTGCGGCGCCGTGGTACGCAGTGTCTGGGGAGAAGTGCGTCTGCTCGCGGGTCGGGCCATAATAAGCGCCGGCTTCGTCATCGGGCTTCTGCTGGGGCATAGCAATGTGGGTGAGGGGCAGCGGATGCATCGGGCTGCGGACCTTGTCGATGTTGCCGTACTGGGCCTCTTCGTCATCATCCTCATCCTGCTCGTTGACCACGAGGACGTGATGCGGGTGGTTGCGGGACCGGCGGCCGCGGATTGTGCCCGCAATGTTTGCAAACATGTTGTGGCGATCATGCTCTGCGAGCTCCTCTTCCGTTGGGAAATGCGACATGCCCAGAGGGGGGTGAGGAGTTGGCGGAGCTGGAGAAACCGGTATCGGGGTTGAGAGCCTAGTTGATCTGGTGCGCATACTGGACGCAACGGTTCGCCTTCGCCTTAAGCCATCCCATTCGTACATTGGCTGTCCATCCTCGCTGATGGGCGCCATGGCCTCGGCCATTTTCTCCTCATGAAGACGTTTCAATTCTTCGGCCTCCATCCTTAGTCGCGCGTTGGAAAAGCGCCTGACAATAGCGGCCGCGCCTCGGATTGCATCTGCCTTTGGCTCCGTCTCGGGCTGTGCCTGTTCGGCAATGGTGTGAATCTGGTCCAGGTCTCCGTTGAATACGGCGGTGTCGGGAACGTCCTTGGCCGACTTGGAGAGCTGCAGTAATACGACGCCAGAGCATATCGTCAGGAAACCGAGCACAACCGTAACTATTGACTGGGCCGTCCCCTTGAAGCCTTGGAATAAGACTGCAGATGTGATGATGGTGGTGCTAGTGAAATAAACATAATAGGTGGGTGTCACGATGGCGGCATTGAAGAGATTGAGGGCTTTCTGCAAGGGGAAAGATGTGTCAGTTTCACTCTCTTGTTTTCAGGAGGTGGTGTCGGCAGACTCACGTTGAGGAAGATGATTTCGGTCAGCAAGGTGCCAATAACAAAGACGAAGAGCACCCATAGGAACCACTCCTTATACTGCGGCTTGCCACTGGCCCACGCAATGATGGCTGCACCCAGGCCCTGAGTCGACACGACACTCAAACCGCCGATCCAGCTGCAGATTGAAATGTAGACCAACATATTCTTCTTACCATACTTGGGTCCAACGAAAAAGGCAACAATGACGGATCCGACGAGAATGACGCCCGTATACGACAGAAACCCCGGCGTTATGACATAGTGTTGCATCTGCTGGATATCGGCGACTGAAGACTCCTGCGGCGCGTTCATGACGATGACCACAGAGCCTACTATGCATAGAAAACAGGCAACCTTTCCAACCAAACTGAGTCGCTCCTTGAGGAAGATGGCCGACAGGATCGTAGTGATGACGACGGACAAGGCGCCGAGCGGTGTGACTAAGATGGCGTCGGTAAAAGCATAGGCGACAAAGTTGCAGACCTCGCCAATAATCATGAGAATCATCCCACCCCACCAGAAAGCATTCTTGAGGTAACCATAGCCTTCGCCAGCAACTTCGTTATACTTTGCGTTTGCCCTCAGCAGGCCAACCTTTTTGAGGACAAATGACGTTCCGATAAAAAGACCCGATCCTATGGCCAAGCCAATGCCGATAGCCTTGTAGTATCCCGGTCGCACAGAGCCATCACCTCCCGGCACGATGCCAGATCGTGCGAAGAGAAGATCGTCGTCCATGGTGGGTTTCGATCAACAGGCCCGAGCTGGGCGAGTTGAAGAAGGCGTGGGAGGAGAAAGCGCGAGAGGAGAGGAGAAGAGAGAGAGGAGGGGGGAAATATGAGAATCGGTTTCAAATTCGAGCCGGATCACATGGGCGAGTTTGCGGGATCGACGGAAGAACAAAGAGATTCGATGTGGCTATGTTCGAGAGGATGGATGATGCGACGAAGTGGCGGTAAATCGAGGGCGGCTGCGACGACGAATGCGATGAGGAGCGCAGGGAAAAGGGTCGAATCGGAAGCAGGCGCGTAAACTATGAGGAGAAGAGAAGAAGAAATCCACAAGCAGCGAGAGAATTGTTTGTTATTATGCAAGGGATGGAGGTAAAGGTTGAATAGGAAAGTTTGAAGAGAATAAGATAAGCTGCGCGGCGATGGGCGTCTGTTTAGGTATTGGAGATGCGCATGTGGCTTGAAGGGGGTTTATGGCTGCCCACATGCTGTAGCCCAGAAGGCGGGGGGGAACCGATGGACAGACAGCTCCAGCACAAGCTTGAGAGCTGCCAGGGCTGGGTTTGGCGCTATAAGGGGGCCCCTAGCCAAGCCAAGAGAAAGTGAGGGGTGGCGCAGTTTTTGAGGGTGCCTTGGGTGCACCACTGTTAGGGCCGAGATAACGGCTGGAGCTGATGGATGAGTATTGACTATGTAGAGATTGGAGAAAGTGACCGAGGTGCTGCATGCAGGTCAAGCGGTTAACATCAATGGAGGCCTTTCCGCTGCGTGTGCCTGCAGAAGGATCTGCTGGTGATGATGTTGTCGAGTTGAGGTTACATGTCCATCGCCATGTGCTCCAATAGAATCTTGATATCATTGCTGCTACTGGTATTGTTGTGACTATTACTGCATCCAGTAAGTGGTTGGCGGTTAGTGCTGCTGCCAATGCACATCAAATGCATCTTTGCCCAGTCCAAAAGTCCAAAAGGCTAAAGCCAAAGTCACGACTCGCCACAAGTGACGCCGAGGTGTACTTTCTCGTACAGAGGCTATAAATAAACTCTACCTACAGCAATTGATGGATAAAAAAGCTCGTGCTGTGCTAAATGCAAAAAAAAGACTCCGTCAATACGCGTACCAACGGCACATGCGCTCTCTGCTCTGACAGCAATACGAACCTTGAAGCCTCTGCGCTCAATCCCGTTGCCCAACCAAATCCAGTATTACTCGTGCGCCCTCAACTCAACATTCCTGTCTTAGCCCTGCTGGCTGGTTGTATGCAGGTGAACCTCGGGCGGCCTTACGAATACGACGAGGGTCCCCCTGCTGCCATCGGGCTCTTCCATCGGGCTCTTCCATCGAACCAACCAACCCCCCAGCCCCCCCTACAAAGGACGCCAGATTTCCATGCTAACCCGCGTGGGCAGTTTCTGACTTGTAGACTATGATGCCTGGCGTGCGAAAACTTGCCTGGATTGATTGAGCCGCCACAGATCAGCTGCTGACGCAACGGCTACGGAATTGAACGATTTGGCACAGCCTCCATGTGGCTTCCTCGTAACTGCAAGCTGAGAGACCATTCGCAGCAATCCGAGTGCGACAAAGAACAACGACGACAATGCCAAGCATCGGCTAGGCCTATCCAACGGTTCATGTTTCAAAGTACATGTGCGAGTACTTTTGTCGACCTGCGAATGTTCTCAATTGAATCTGATTTCTCCAATTGCTGCTAATTTTATCAATTTTAAAGCCCTAGCCTAGCGCATCTGGCCCCTGCATGGACGGTCCATCTGGATGCTACGTATCGTCTCCTAGTCGTTCCAAGGCGATTGAAAGTTCAATGTTTCCAATCCATCTCAAAGAGCGTCCAGCAGTTGAGACTTGGTGCCATTGGGTCACATCATTGAATACCAAATTACATAAAGTAACTGGATAGTCCTCTGACACTATTCACGCCAGCAGCACTACACAATTTTCCGCGGCCATTACCCGTAGCAACCGGGATGCAGGTGAGCTGAGTGCTGACTACATCACTAGCCAGCCACCACCAAGCTGGAATCACGAATCCTTTTGGCCCAGGGCTGCAGGCATTGTCTAAAATGGAATCATCATCTGTCATGCTTTGGAATTTCAGTTTTCGCTGCGCTGTCTCGCTTCTCGTCTCTTGTCCGCCTTCAGCCCCTAAACCGCATACCCGGTCAACAATGCGGTCTGCTTTCCACGTTCAGAAATCACCTGAGCTCATTGAATCAATGGACCAAATTGATGTCTTCAACCATGTTTGTGTTAAAAAAAGACTCCTGAAGCAGCAATTGCAACATTCCAGCCCCTCCTCCGCCCGCCTTATTGGGCCCCCCCCGCAGTGGTTCTGCGGCGCTTCGTGGCCTCTAAAACGCCGCCAGATTCAACTCTGCGACACTGATACTGCGTGTGCCGTTTCATCTTTCACCACTGTGCATCTCAAAACACACTCGCCCGATCAGGCGCGCAACTTTTGATTCGCTTACCTCAAACTGTGATTCATCCTTGGGCTCTGCGGTCAGTCGTGAAACCCGATTTCGAATTTTCCCACTGGCCAGCGTTTGTTGCACTCGGAACTTGTTTTGTAGGGATCAGCGCTCTTTCGTCATGCAATCCGATTCTCTTCACACACCGTGCTGGGTTTTTCCTAGCTTGCATTTGATCTCGTAGCCGAGACGGTGGCAGGGCTGAAGTAAACTTCCGCTTACACACATTACTGTACGAGGCAATTTGTGCGATGCTTTTGCAGGGGAAGCCACGATGCTATTCTAACTATCAAGTTACCTATTTTCAGGAAGCAGATTGCCCTAATATCGATCTGGTTGCCGCACAGCCGATGGTAAGATTATTCCCGAAAGCCGAAAGACATGGTTCGACAGGAAGCTGGAAATACAATTGTCCCTTTAAATAGATGCCTACGGTAGGTAAGCCCGCCCAAAAGAAGTTGAGCTCAGATCATGTGCATATACGCACCCAGCAGTTGAGCCTCAACTGTCTTGCAGGGCCCTTGGCGGTTTAACCCATCAATCTATTTAGCCGCTTTGTCCCTATCCAATCTGCCACAACCTTGGTCACTGGAGCGGCTGGAAAGGCTCACACGCTGCCTAGGAAGGATTGATGATGCATATGTGTTTACTAATCACGTTTGCTTCCTCGAAGCCCGCGAAACTGATTGAAACTGACATTAGTTCTTAACCATCCAGGTCAACTGTTAGGTGGTTTGGATCGAGAGTGGCACGAAACAACATAACGATATGTTTCTCTTTCTCTTGCGAAATTCCAGGTCCTTATGCCAATGATTCACATTTATTCTTTCTACATTTCCTTATTGTTCTATTATGCTTCAACACAGTCCTCGTTCTTCAAAATGCAATCTGGACATTATTTTCGAGCTTCCTGTCTCCCGCGGGGTATGGTATTTCGCAACATGTGCATCCATCTAGTGACTGTCATGTGCTGTCATGGCCAGGGTTAAATATTTCGCTAGTTGAGGTAGGATCGAGTTGTTTAGCATAGTCGTATCCATCGTATTATTATAGCTGCAAATGCTCATCAACCAATCAACACTTGAGAGGATTCCCACCGATTTTCACTTCATCCTACATAAGCTGCCTAAATTCTCCCCTCTAGGACTTGTGTGAAATTTGGGAATGGGATTTAAAAGAAATACGTTGCCTTTTTTTCTTTCTTATTAAACAGCATTCGAACTTTTACTGCGAACAACTGTTGCTGATTCCGCAGCGATGGCGGATCTCAGCATTCGTGGCATGTGGGATGAAGCCGGCAGGCGATTTCAGGCCCGCACAGAAAGGTCTCTAGACCTGAAGCCACCCAAAAGTATAGACGACATTCGGGACATGATAGAACGCCGATATGACCCTTCATCTCCGGCAGACTCAGACTCAGACGGAGGCCATGAACGAGCTAAACGGATTGGCCTAAATATCTTGTCCTGTATAAAGCTCTTAGGTGGAGTAGCAGCTCAAGGAGCAGAGTTGGTGAATGAACATTAAATCTCTTGACGCTTAACTGCCTATTTCTAATGACTTGAATGTATTTCAACCTGCGGGTGTTTGTTTCAACGCCATTTCTCTACTTCTCGATGTTCCACAGTCAACCCACGAGTTTCATGGCACGATTGATGCCGTCTTCGGAATTGTTGGCCCCACGCTCAGTCAATTCAAGATTTACGAGAGGATCGAATTGTTCAATACTATCGACCCGGAGTTGAATACTGCCATTCACAAGGTCATGATCAGTTTTGTCGACATTTGTGCTCTGGCAATAGTGCTCCGGAAAGGTAGCAGGTGGAAGCGGTTCAAGGCAGCAACAAAGCAAGCCTTACTGAATGATGACTCCGGCTTGAAGGATGAGATTGAGCAATTTGAGAAGCTTGTGAAGGGGCAGCAGAATGTCCAAGCTACCTTGACTTTGGAGGTGGCTCTAAGTGCTAAAGCAGACCTTGCTACCATCTTAGGCAAGGCCTGTGAGACTGGCAAGAGGATTGATGACATTGCAATTGGCATCCTAGATCTGAAAGAGGCAGAGACAAATCGCAGCCTGGAGAAATCGAGACAAGAGAACCTCACAAAGATTCGAACCAAATTAGCAATCGAGGAGAAGAGCATCAAGGCGTCCAAAGATGTCTGTGAGAAGATATGGCAAAGATGCATAACAGATAGTGGGGATTGGCTCCGAGACATGGAAGACTACCAGAAGTGGTCTGATAAGTCTACCAACGATGCAAGTCCATTGCTGGTACTAACCGGCGAAGCGCACTCGGGAAAGTCAAGTGCAATGTCGACCATAGTACACCAGCTCAAGGCTGCCCACGAGTCTCAGGGCCAATCGACGGCGCGAGCCCTTGTTGCTTATTATTTCTTCCCTTTCTTCGCTAAGAAAGCAGACGACGACAAGCGGCCGGGAACAACTGCGGTGAAACATATTGCATACCAACTTGCTGAGCAAGACTCTGGTACTGCCAAAAGCATGGCCGCATTTTGTGACGATAAACACAGTGAATCGTATTTTCGAGATTCTAGCTGCAAAGAGCTTTGGCGCGAGCTTAAGATTGGGACGCCGAAGCCAGGAACCATGCATTTCATCGTTATTGACGGCCTGGATGGGTTGTTTGAAGGGCATCCTGAGGCCGCAAGCCACTTTCTAGATATCTTCGAGACAATCCAGAGCCAGACGTCCACTGGCAGCGATGGGAATCGGGTACGACTGATTGTGAGTGGGAAAAGCGATAATTTCCAAAGAGAGTCTCTCCAGTCGGCCCCCAATATCGAGATTGAGAAGTACAATGGCTCAGATATCACATCGTACATCTACGAAGAGCTGACAAAGACGAATCTTTTGCAAGGCGAAGAGTCTGAAACAACTCGTCTTCGAACAAAAGTGCACGATCGGTTACTCGAAGAGGCCAAGGGGAACTTCCTCAAGGTGCAGACTGCTCTGGAGAAGATCAAAGACTTGATCATGTCAGATGGCTCGGAGGCTGAGATGGACACCATTCTAGACGAGTCCAACCAAGATAAAAGGACAATCTCTGAAAACGTCATTCTCGAATTACAACAATCTCTCAAGCCGCAGTCCATCGAAGAACTGAATGAGCTTTTGATATGGATCGTATATGGCTTTGTATACTTTGACGCTGCTGATCTGGAAGCTGCACGGGTAAGTGAGGTTGTGTCGTTGCGTATTGGCAAGACTGAGGTAAAACTAATCATTTGTTGTTCGTAGTTCCTCCGCTTCGGGACCGTCTCCTACAGAAACTTGAGGACAAGCTGAAGGGCATGTATTCTAAACTCTTTTTTTCTCACTACGGAAATGTGGCCATATTGCCATCGATCGAACCTCTCATTACCAAAGAAAGGGACCGCCCACGCATTAGCGAAGATGCACCTAAAATCTCCCTCAACCTGACCATCTCTAATGGCGATATTACAACTGTACAGAATTTCCTCTGGAGCCTTTTTCAGAAATCCATGGTCGAGAAATTCGAATTTGAACCATATCTGGCCCTACGCGTTCCGCCGCCCGGGAAATCCAGGTCAACGAGTATGACGCTCATCTCGCTATAGTGAAACAGAGCCTGCGTTTTCTCACATCTCCACCGGATGAGAGGACAAAGCTTTTGGGCACCTATATCGTTAGAGAACTTCATGGTCACTTGGAAAGGCTAAATCAAGCGGTTGGATACGACCAAATCCTTGCATCTGACAAGAAGGAGATTGGAGACGGTCTTTTTGCTCTATTTGTCTCCGGTGACGTGATAGAGAAACATTGGGAGTCGTTTAGCAAAATTGATTGGGTTGGCCAGAGTGACAGAATTGAGATATTCCGCAACTGGCTGAAGGATCCGGACGCAATTGGTCACCTTGGCAGACTTGACAAAGACTGGCTCAGGACTGTAAACTCGAGCCAGAGGCCAAACCGAGAGCTTCTTACCCCTATGATGAAGACGGTTGCGGAGCATTGGCTGCTAGATAACAAATGGCATGCTGGGACCTGTTTTCATGCTTTGCGTCTGTTTTTGCGACTCGTAAGCTACATTTCAAGAACAATTATGATTGCTGTACTGACGCTTTGTAGGATACATTGGAGAAGCCATCTGAGGACGAATCAGCTGTACCGACGACCCAAGCCATCTCTGAGGAGCTTGAGGCAGCCGAGAAATGGTGTGAGGAGATGCTGTCGCCAAAAACCTTGGGCTCTCTCTGGTACGAACGACTAGGAGAGGCTGCCAGATACTATTACGAGCCCGACTGGGCAATCGTAAAGTTCACGAAAGCAAGTGAGTGTGACGACGCAAGCATCAGCTTCAAGAGCCTGGCCGAAGCATACTATGATAACGACGAGCTTCTCTCAGCATGTTCATCGATGGAAAAGGCGCTCGATGTGGTCAACGCAGCCGAGACACCGGATAAAGAGGAACTGAAAAGCATCTACCTACGCCTTGCATTTTGGTATAATCACTTACAGCAGCCAGACCGCGCTATTGTGCATTATGAAAAGGCACTTGAAGTAGACCCCGATAACCAAGAGGCCCTCAGTGGCATATTGACCACCTCTATTGCGTCAGGTGCCGAGCAAACGATTTATGATCTCATACTTAATATGAGTAAATTAAGCTCCAAAGAGCCTGGTCTCGACCAGTTGGCCTCCACCATACTCGATCAATCACTCGATTACAGCTACAAAGCACCACTGCGCACTCTGGTCCACAGGTGTCTTTCACAGCAAAGCTGTATGGCTGCTTTACTAGACGCAACGGATCAAGCAATTGAAGCAGCACGGAAGAAGGGTATGGAGATTGAGCTTCTCGCATTGCTTCTGCTCCGCGGCCTAGCCTCTCTTTTTAACGACTTGCAAGACTCACAGTCATCGCCGCAAGCAGTGGCTTTCTGGATTGACAGCTATACTACCATGGACCAGCTCATTAGGAAGGTCGATAATGAAGAGGACGTATGGAGATATCAAACCTTTTATCGCAGTATTGTCGGCCACCTGAGTTCTTACTACTTTGAGCAGGCCAGAAAATCGTCAGATCTTTCTGAGTATTATCTCAAGTTGGAAGAGCTGCGGCGTGGTTTCCGCTTCCCTGGCATTGAAGGTATTCACGCAGCCGACCTATTCACCTCCGCCTTCCACACTCTTCACGGCAACAGAGCTGCAGCCAGAGAAACAGTCAAGCAGTATATGCGGATCTCTATGGACAATTTATCTGACGACACTGATGAGAACGACTACTGGGCGGCGTACATTCAGTTTAAATGTCTTGCAGCTTCCGGGGATGATTTGAAACGCATTGACGGCTTGGTCTCTACTTGAGCCCATCGAAACGGATGTTGTAGCAAAAGCACTCAATCTTGAGGCCGGGCCTCAGCAATGGCTCATTGACGAGATGACCAAATTCGTCAAGGCAAAATGCCCGCTCGGAGCCACGCAGAGTGATAGAGTGAATGCGGTCAAGACCGAACTGGAGGCTCGACTAGCCGCAACGAGCAAAGAAGGAGATGAACCTAAGCAAACAGAATTGTGTATGGAGATTCAGAAGGCTCTGGCGGCTTTGGAATCAGTGCAGGTGCCGGAAGGAAGCGTGACAAGTGATACTTCTGGAGAAGTTACCGTCGCGCCCTTGGAGAGCAAAGACATTGCGAAAACGTTTGGTTATACTTGCGACGGTACATGCGGTGAAACACCGTTGGACTTTAACAATGGCTTGAACGTATGCAAGTACTGCTGGAACGTGGGTTTCTGCGACGAGTGCTTGCCTCAGCTCAAGGCGAACAAGTTGAAGAAGATTGTGTGCAGCCCTAGTCATGAATGGCTGGCAATCCCCAAGTGGAATCCTAGAGGCAACGCGGCTGCTCGGGATGGCGTAGTTCAGGTAGGTGGAGAGTTGGTTGACGGCGTCCGCGTGGGTGGTGAGACCGTAACAGTGAAGGAGTGGTTAGCTTCACTGAAGAAGGAGTGGCAATTGTAGAATGCGGCCGAGGCGATCATGTCGAGTGTCTATACGGTGTTTGATCGCAATTTAATATGCTTGATGTGGTCACTAACTCTCAATATGTCGAAATGATTACATTAGTTGGGGTGCGGGTGTTGGCGACTCTTCTCAGATTGAGCTAATAGAGGCAGCCACGACATACGTCTCTCTACTCAATTCCTCTGAATGTACTTCTATAAAGCTTGAATATAACCCTTCTACTATCTATATAGTTCGCTTAGTCAACCTTGGATTGAATGGTTACTGTGATGAAGTCGTCTATCGCGGGTCTCGAGTTTCTGCGTCTCCCTTTAAAGCCACCATTCCCACCCCTTTCAAAGGAGAAGGGGTATAGCTTTATATGTCACCAAGAGGCTCTGCTTCGTATAACTTGCGCCATCGATGGCCATTTATAGAGTGCGCGTTAATACCTGCAAAGCACTATTGGATATCGAGCCACACTTCTCTCCACGCACAGCCTCGTCATTGGCTCTCGTAGTAACCCTACAGGATCCTTCATGGTCAAGCGCCAGGGTCCTGCCGCATAGCCGATAGCTTTTGTCGCGATCAGGCTGTTAAACATGGCTTGTAGGAATACCAAGCTTTAGCCCAATCAGCCTCGCTGTCGCATCGTGGACAATTTTATTCCTACGAGCTCCTCGAAACTTCAGCAGAAATCTCACGATGCGGTGTGACTATTTATCTTCAATTTCAGCGCTCTCTCCTTCCCTGTCTACCATCTCCGGGCGATATACCGGGCTGGAATGCCATGAGTACGATTTTTGGCCGTGATGCTTCTGGGCTGGAGGTACAGCTACCGGATATTGGTGGATTGGAGGTACGACCACCTGATGTTGGGGGTCTAGAAGTCTCAACCAAAATCCAGATCGCGCAGGGATTGGAAGCATTCAGCGGCTATGACGGTTTGGAGGTGGTGAATAATGGACAGAATGGCATCGGTGGAACCAAAACCCAAGACTTTATAGAAGAAACCGAACCGAAACCACGGAGAAAGAAGCTGTGGTTCATCCTAGCAGGTGTAGCTCTGCTGCTTGTGGTCGTGGGAGCCGTGTTGGGCGGTATCCTTGGATCGCGACATAATCACAAGGCTCCTGCGAAAACACGAGGAGCTTCCGCCACTCCAGAAGCTTCTGGCAAACCTCCAGGTTCTTCAGATCCGCCGCTCACTGCCGTCTATGCGACCTCGGGTATTGGCGTCACGGGTTGGTGGACAGGCTCGTCAAGCTTCACCATCCGCTTGATCTACCAGAGACACAATGGAGATCTGCGTCTTATGCGGTACCACTCTGGAGATGGTAAATGGTCAACACTGGCCAATTTGACGGGTACAAGGGCCAAACTAGGGACCCCAATTGCAGCATCATGCTTCAATATACCATTCTTTTTCTTCACTCCAGTGACGAGCAGTAATGTGGGCCTTGTTTTCATTAATCTCCTCAGTTTATATGCCTCTGCTAACGTGAGCCGAGCTCAACTACATAGAACTTTACGCAAGTCGAAATCTTTTATCTCAACGAAGCAAACGAGATGCAAGAGTTCTATTTCAGGGAGCAGGACTCGCCTTCGCCTTCAGCACAAACTTTTAATGGGAGCGGAATCATGTCCTCCAAAGGGTGGAAAGCAGCAGGTGATTCGAAGATTGCATCATACTGGCCAAGCGTCATCTTTCAAGATGACAGTGACCAGATGCAAGAGGCGTACTATGCCAATCTGACATGGGCGCAGAGCGAAGTAGGCCTTAAATGCCAGAACAATTCAGCCTTTGCAGAAGTGCCTTATTCCGTAGCGGCTGGGAGGTTCGGAGGTGAGAAGCTTATCTATCAGCAGGATGATCAGAAGCTCCACATCGAGGAAAGAAACAACTCGACCGACAAGTTTAATGTTGGTGAGTTTGTAACCCCCATCTTTGGTATTGGAATTCTCAAATTCTCATGCAGTGACCAATACAGGTGCACCATCCATTACTATCCCAGCAAACGTGGCCATGGGTGCGTTCACCGTTCCTCGAGACTCTGATACAACTGACGGCGCTATGAATACCTATATCCTCTGGCAAGATAGTACAGGTGCTCTCCAGATGACTTGGGAAGATGATGATACTGGATGGCGAACCTCATCGACGCCTGCCTCGCTTGGTGGTCCCGACAAAGGCACGGGCATATCTTGCCTCGCACCAACTCTCTGGGCCGTGGCTTCTTTATTGTCAGACTACGGTATGGCTCGCTGCTATTATTTGGTAGATGGGGAAATAAGAGAGGTTCAATATGATGGTTCCAACTGGTCCGTGATTGGAAATGTGCAGCTAGATTAATGTTTTAAGAAGCATTCTAGTAAGGGCGTATGGCAGATTAGAATGTTCGCTGATATCGGTTTTGATGATTTAGCTAGATTAGAAAGAATGAAACAAAGGGAATGTTTAGTGTCTCTTATACCGCTACATGTAGTTTGATCTACCGTTAGAGCTGATATGCATTAGAATCACGTCGTAGCGATCATCAAGTATGTGGGCTCATTTTTTTATTTATAGAAAGAAGCTGCATAATAAGGTTCAAGCTTTCTGACATGAATTTCTTAAATTAGAAGCTTATCCCATTTGTTTCTCCTAACAACTGTAGCCAGGAAGTCCGGATTCGCTGGTTGCAAGGATTCCCCAGGGAGGGTTGCAGTAGTTTCCGTTATTGGCATTGTCTTGGTTAAACTGATAAAACCACCCTGTTTATTGTTAGTACTCTTCATGCTATATCATTGAAGCGCAGTACGAACCATTGGCACATTGACAAACGGCGTAATTAATACCACAGCCAGGGTCCTCACTAATTGATCAAACATTAGCTTATAACGAATCACATAGAAAAGCAAGCGTAGACCCACAAGGCATAGCAGCCAGAAGCCACTTGACGCTCTGTTATTGGGCTTGCAGTTACAAAAGCAGCGGGAATAGTCAAAAGAAGAGCTGAAAATTGCATGTCGGATTAAACAGTGAGATTAGATTTAAAGCGTGGTTAAGAAGCTTTGTGTATCCTGTTGTCGTTGTTTATTGGGCTTGAGCTGTGATTGTTTGACGTCCGAGGGAAGAACGAGCGTTGATATTTATATTCATTTTGTATCCAGCAAAGAGTGGAATTTCACATTGATTCCATCTTGTATGAGTCTCTTTGGCTTCGCATGAATATGGATTGGACCGAATGTGTAGATGTAACACCACATTATCCGGGATCTTCAAAAATATCGACATATTTGGAACATCGATCAACTCGCAGGTATCCCCAAAAGGGTTTCTGGTATCAATCCTTTATAAGAGTACTGAAAAAACGTCATCCCAATGATTATTTTTACAAAATGGATTTGAAGGAATATATTCCTTTCGGCGCTGCCAGCGCATAAACTTCCTCTATTGCCGCATAACCGTGATCCTTCGCTGTCGGCTCGTCGGTGGTGATGAGGGGTACGAAGCATCCCCCTCAGTCGACACTTTTATCCTCCAAATTATCGTAAGTTTATGTTTATAATCTACTCAGCTGACTTGCATGTAGGTACATCCAAATGACGTCTTTTGTTGAATATTCTCACAAACCTTCCGGTAAAAACGGATGTTGCGGAACATTTAGGATGCATCAAGAGCTGAAGGATTTATAAATGTAACCAAAGTGCATCGCCGCTCGTGTAGCGCCCAACCTCGTATAAGTGTGAATGTCTGAAGCTTAGCAGGCGAAGCTGTTTGTCGGATGATGATGTGAGAAATTAAAAATATCCGTGCCGTAATAGAGGAAGTTGAGCCTGTGACGACTTGAATCTCCAGAGCGGCACGGAAGGGGAACGTTGACAAATTGATTCGACGGAATGCATAGAGGTAAATCAGAATAATAGAAGAGAAGTCTTCGGCAATTCCAATTGCTAACTACACATATCGTAATGAGTCCGAGTGCTTTGTTTGCACTCTAGCATACAGATATTGTCAACTTAGGACAAACTATACCTAGGTATAGACTGCCGAGGGTATACCATAGTCATTTCTATGACCAAAGTCTATCTATCAAAACTCTAGTTAATACGGTATAACCATGTATATCGCCATCACTATTACTCTCTAGTTAGTTCGTCTACTAACTACTGCTATCAGGCCCGATTGTTGAGAGTTCGGACCAGCTTAGTTCTGATTCAGAATCTTCATATTCCGGAAATGAATCACAGTCCCATCATCTATGAGCTGGGATATAGATTATGTTTGTAAGGCAATGAACTTCACCACCTCCCTCGTTATGCGAGTACCAGTGCTCAATGCAGATGACATCCAACCCGCTTGCCCATACACATTGTCAGTTGCCTGTGCCATGACGTCTACGCCATCAATGATTGGGCTACCAGGGATTCGGTGACAGGCACTGTGAATTTCTGTTAACAACTCCAGTTCAAATATCCTAGTATAAAGTTATAGCGTGTTTAGAGCTATAGTTTCTTTTGTGGTAATATCCCTTCGAGTGGCGGAGGTAGAATCCAGTTTGAAACACTGCCATAATAAGAGCCACGTAGAGATGGATAATGTCGAAATCAGAAGCCTTTCTGTCGTACACATCAAAGTGTACCTCGACTCTTCCTTCCATCCCAGCTGCTCGGTTTCTTTGTATCTCGAGCATTTATGCCGAGCTCCAAGCCCTTTCCCACTTCACTGCCGGGATTCCTGTCATCAGTGGGGATGATCAGCTACTTCCACTCCGTCAACATCTGTGAAAGATCTTTCGGGCAATCTCCATACGACTCCAACAGTTAATGTTCTGAGCGGAGCCAAGTATTGCAGCGAGCTTTGGACATCATCAGTGTCATCATTGCAAGCTTCAAAGTCTTCTTGAGACGCCGGGTTTTTGAGAGCAATGCTTAAACGGCGACGATGGTTGTTACCAATAGTCACCCGAAAATTTGGATCCAGCCGAATTGGACCATCCTAATTTATCATCAAGATCACTACTGCCTTCTATATTGACGACGCTATCACAGTTACTTTCAGCCTGGATTTCAGCTTTTAAGGCAAGGCTAGGCCATATGATGAAAGTCCAAAGAGTTACGTGATAACACTTTAACGATTTGCGCGCCTTGTTCTAAGATAAGGGTATTTTACCGAAGCTCTCGAGCACGCTTGAGCGCGTATGGCCGGGGTATGCAAAGCCTTCTCAACTGTCCTCCATCCCTTTTCAACTAATATGGAGATCATATATACTTGGCTATCTTAATCCATTTATTTCGAATATCATCGCATATAATCCCACCTTTCGAGACAGACAGAATAGAACGCCAATGTCTCGACCATAACCACAACTCTACGTTTGTCCACGCTTGGGCGGAATTCAGCATGCCTACCGATAGACAATCCATAAGATAGGCACCTCAACTCCTCCTTTCTCACACTCGACGTAATCTGGACGTGGTGCGCGTTGATTCGTTTCCACGCGTCTCATACGATTCGCTGTTGTTGAGTCTCAATGTTAAATGCACACATGTGCATTATCGCCACACAGCCACTGCTGAAGCATTTACGTCGTGTTTGAAGTTCATTCGCCTGCCTCTTTGTCCTACATATGTATGTTTCAATATTGTCCTCGGATCGGTCTCGACTTGCGAAATTGCTCTCATTGTATATATACACCGACAATCTGAAACTGCGTATACGCGTTCTGGACCTCTGATATGACGTGCATACGCCACTCGTACGCGACTACGTACAACCAAATGTTTCCTTTTTCTTACCGAGGCACAACATTGGCCTCTCATTTGTCGTATGGTAGTACAAGCCATACAGGCGGAGCTTTTCTCTCGAGCAAACTTACGTGAGTCTGCATTTCGTTCCGCAAGGAGACATAAACTTAGACGCCGCCCGAACATGCTCGCCAACGAGATCGAACCGAGTGGAGCGGAATAGATGAATATATGTGAATTCACCTGCATGCCCCTCCCAGGAGCGGTGTGACTACCTAATGAATTATGTGACAATGGTTAAGTAAATCAATTGTCTTGTCCAACCGGTTGCATGCGCAAGTCCCCGCACTTTAATTTTCCTATTTTCCATCCGGGGCTTTTTTGACCGTGAAACCTGCATATGTATCCACGCCTCCATGCACATCATAACAGAGTCCACCGTATGATCCCATACGTGTATAGATTCGAGGAATAGTCACTAGAGTGACATGTTGCGTGAAAAAGAATAGAAAAGAAGGATTTCTCACCTATTTTAGCCGGTGATTCTGTTCCTTGATTTGACCGATCTGGCAGACGATCGTCTTGGCAAGATGTATCTGATGTGTTGCCGCACATCAGATTTATTATTGGCTGCACTGCTTCACCCGAGCGGGGAAGCCATCTGATATTGGCCAACAGCTGTAAATATATTCGCCACTTCATGCAGTAATTCGTTATATCATGGGCTTCTTATATGCACGATATCATTTGCCAACGCTTGGGCAGCTGCAGTCTATTATGTATGAACTAGTTTTAGATCACTTTACAATTACTCAATTGTTCAAGGGTCTGACTGTATATTATTCATTGATGTTGCACAATGTATGTCAATATTTTATTCAGATAGGATATATCGACGACCCTCAGGGCAAAGATTAGTTCCAGCTGGTATAAGACATTGTCCTTGGTTATCCAGATACAGGGCAAGTATGCCAAGTACCCAGTATATGACCTTTTCCCTCTGATGATCAGCACTCATAAAATCTTTTTGTGCACGAACAATGTTTCAATTTCAGCCAGCCACTGCAGCTCCATGTTCTCGTGGGCAACCTAATCTGGAAGATGTGCATAGTACAGCATGTCATGCATTCCAATCTCAACCAGTCTCATCAGGCTTCGGTAGCCGTACCACGTAAGAGCAATAATGGACCCTATATCCATGCGGACTATTACTGTTACACACCACGTCAAAGTGCGGGGCGATGCCTATCCATCTACATACGATAATTGATCATTACGAAGCCATTACGTCTCTTAGGTGAAGAGAGGAAACTGTATCTACTATCTTGTGCCTGGAGGTTATGAAGTCAAAGCAGATGGGCAAGCACAGAAGTATATATATAGGTGCCAGTCGAGCCCCCTTAGTCTCAAAAACTCTTCCTTCTCATCATCAACAACAACAACCGACTTATATGAACTTTAATTCCAAGATCAAATATTCTTCGACTTGATTATCGGCGACAAGACTCACAATGGCAACTCCATTTCCACTCCCCGTCCGCCAACCACCCTTCCGTAGGATTGGGCACTGGCTGCCTGAGAACGACGATCTTCTTATAGATTGGCTTCGCGGTCTCCTCGAGGAGATCGAAAGAGACAAGAAAAAATTCAAGGGCCCATGGGTTCTCAGTCCAGAGGTGGATGACTTAAAGAAATACGTTGAGAGCTCTGCCGAGCTTCGCATGCTGGCTCAAGCCATGCTAGACGAGGTCCCTAACAAGCCCCCTTATATCGATGACCCTGTTGGCAACAAACAAATTAAATCTCTTGATGATTTGTACATTTGTTTCGACAAGGTTATGACGTCGAGGGCTCCTATATGGAGAAAGTTGGAATACGACGTCGGTCTGGTTGGATTTCCATTCAATGCCGTTTTAGACTGGCCAATGGCTACTCCTAGTGGATATGCCTTTTTTCTCAAGCCAGATATCAATAAGAAATTCGAAGTCATACTCAACACTTGGAAGACAAACTTCTTACAGACAATTGCTTCTGCAAAAGTCCTGCTACCCAAAGAGGGTGACGACATTCCATTAGATGAGGCTTGGTTGAGCCCTGAATCGCGGAAGCAAATCGAAGATGACACCAATCTCGAAGGTGAACATCTCAAATTCGAGGAACTTTTTGAGTGTGACCCTAAGAAAGACTACTGGGGTTTTCAATCTTGGGACGATTTCTTCATTCGAACGTTCAAGCAGTACCCAGATAAAGAACTCCGCCCCATTCACTTCAAGGACAATGATGATTGGATCATAAACTCGTGTGAATCTAAGCCTTTCTCGCTCCAGCCCAATGCAAAAGACTACGACAAGTTTTGGCTAAAGGGACAGCCATACTCCGTCATGGACATGTTGAATAAGAACGAAGATTATGCATCCCTGTTCGTCGGTGGCACAGTTTATCAGGCCTTCTTGAGTGCTACCTCTTACCATCGCTGGGACTCGCCAATCAGCGGCAAAGTCCTCTACACTGAGGTTATCCAAGGCACCTACTTTGCAGCGCCTACTGTCACGGGGTTTTCCAATCCTGATGGGCCTGATCCGGCTTCTCCAGACCTTGCCCAAGGCTATATTACCCATTTTGCCACGCGAGCCGTCTATTACATTAGAAACCCGAAAATTGGCATCATCGCTCTTCTCTACGTTGGCATGGCCGACGTGTCTTCTTGTGAGATTAATGAGAAGTTTATCAATGTGCCTGAGGGAGGAGTAGAAGTTAAAAAGGGAGAAGAACTTGGAATGTTCCATCACGGAGGCTCAACTTATTGTCTTCTGGTTCCAAAGGGAACCAAGGTTGCTTTCATTCCCGAAGCTACTCCCCGAGAGGGACAGAGAAACATTCCCATTCGAAGCCCACTAGCTCGAGTGTACAATGATGATATTGAGGATGAACTTAGGAATTAACTACCTGCCAGTCAACTTCGACAGGCCATGTCTCTCTTTGGCAAACAGTTTTCGCTGTGATGGAACACTCAGGGGTCACGCAGGAAGGTGGATTGCCACGGACATTCATTCAAATCTGTTAATGTGCTTTTCGTCACTCCTTAGTAAAATTATGAATATCAGTCATTTATCAACTAACTTCTGATTAGCCACTGGTGGTGATCTCTAATTGTGGCCTGTATGAAAAAGTTACCCGCTCAACTTATCTCGGCAATTTAGTCTCGGTGAATGTCCAACAATGTGAACAGACGTATACAACTTATTTAAACAACAATTAGCCAATGGGCATTCCCTTAGCAGCCCCAACACAAGCAAGACTCTCATTTAGGTGAATAGCGATGGTGTACTAGGCTCATTCCATGAAGCTCAGTGCTCTATAGCAAAACATCCATTGCGCCAAATTTGGTGTTTCCATCAACCGCTGCAGACATGCTGCACGGCGCCAATGATATGGCAAACAATGGTAAACGGTGAAACCAAAACAAGCTGGTGACATTTGGTGGCACAATTCTCTTCATTTGCCCTCCCAATCATGCTCGAGGATAGAGTACAGGAGAGTATCAAACCACTTACGCTGAAACCACACACTTTCACGCTTCCGGCCTTCCAACTTGAACCCAATCCTTTCCCAAAGCCTTATCGCTGCCTCGTTGTAGCTGAAACCAAAGCTCAATGCGGTGCACTCCCGTATAATTGAAAGCCCAGTCTACAGCCCACTTTGTAGCTTCAGCACCGTAGCCCTTGCCGCGGTATTCTTCCGAGAGCCAAATAGCAAAGCTGGTAGATCGATGATCTTCTTTGGACTCGAGTGACGGCGGGGTCATGTTCAGAGATCCAATTGGCTTTCCGGCTGTGGGATGTCCACTCTCCGATGTCTCTTTCAAGCAGATGAAGACAAAGATCAAAGCCTTCTTCTGGTACACTTCTAAAAACTCGTCCATTGACCTCTAGATTGGCGGTCGAGGGATTAAGGGATGGCCAAGCTCCATGCACCCAGGCTCGCTAATGATTGCGTAGAAGGTGTCATTGTCTTCAATTTGCACGCTGCGGTAAACAAGCTTCTCAGACACGAACAGTGTCGTCACAGGGTGCGGTAGGGAACACATGATGACCTGGGTCGCTTTAAAGCGAGGTTTAGTAGAACTTAGGTAGCCATAATGAGATGTGGAGTGTTACAGTATACATGTACCAGATAAGAACATAATCAAATATGAAGTGGATTTTCCGAAACGCCCAATTAAACTACCTATCCCCGGCCTAGAGTTACTATATCTTACGGTATCTTACGGCTATCAATGGATATGCCGAGCTCTTGAATGTGTCTCAAGAGCCTACCTAGTACTCTGCCGCACAAGTGAATCTTTGAGAGGAATAAGAGAGACACAAGCCGCCCGCCTCAATGGAATCAGGCAATTCCTGAGCAAGTACAGGCGAGCAATAGCTTTAAACCTAGCCCAGTAATTAAATCTCGCATCTTCTAGCGCCATGGAGCAACCAGCCCAAGCCTCCTCCAGCACCATGGAGGCTAAGCCCCTTGGACCACCCTCACTCAGCATCTGGTTCCGGTGACTTGGGTTTTCTGATCGAACTCATGTTGTACCGGTTTATCCGACCGCTGCTTTTGATTTCACCAACCAGATGCCGGTAGGTGATTGGCAAAATGTTCCGCAGATGAACGGCATGGGCTAGATTGCAGAATCAAATCACCACATGCTTCAGGATCGAGGTTCTGGAACGTGTCACCTTGTCGAGCCCACGATGGAACTGGTCGGAATTCAGCGTCCGATCCTTATGGCCCACAAGTTTCAGTGTTGGAAATCGAGCTTGGAGCGTGGTGAGAAAATGGTTCACCACTATCTGTGAATTGGCCCCCCCGGAGACGCAATGGTCAATTCCCCTCTCATTCCAGTTGTCCCTGATGATGGTGAACATTTCCTGGAGCTTCTGGAGGCTTCTAGGAGACGACAAGAGGGCAAACGCAGTGTCGGCGATTGTACCAACCATGTGCTTTATTCGTCGGTGGGACGGGGACCAAGGTTGTTCAGGTTCAGAGCGCCCTAGCACCTCGATCCTGAGGTTGAATTGACTCTGTACGGGATTATTGCCTCGAGTGATGACCAAAGGGCCCCAGCCCGGCAATAGATTTGCAAATCCTCGGAAATTGGCCACGGCATTGGTGGCTCCCTGTACTGTGAGCCAATGGGCAGGATATCGCACCTCGTTGGCATTCTCAAAGAACTCTTCAGGCCGGCTCAAAGAACTGTTCTCTTCGACCAGCCATCTTGCTTTGAAAATTTCGGGGGTCGTGAAACAAGCTTTGACGGGATTCGTGGTAGGCACGTCTTTGAATAGCCGCACCAATTGCCTTGCGTGCAGCTTTTGGGCCGGAGATGCCGTTTGGACGATTTGACCGAGAGGCGCCGTGATATTGACCACCGCTGCCATGTCTAATATCGTCGTCAACCGTGGCAGAGTGCTAAAATCGTCTGGTTGAAGGGGTTTTGAGGTTGAGATGTGATGGAAAGGAGGGAAATGAACCCTTGGTGGTGGGGAGAGGGGAGAGGAGGAAACAAACGCGTCTGAAATTTTTTCGTTGGATGGACCCCCAGCAAGTCACTCAATCAGAAGTAATTCACTTTGTTTTCAGTTCACTTTGCAGTTAATTCCAGCGTTGCCAGGTGGTGGCCATCCCTAGGCCTGCGTGCGTAGACAGCTGACAGACATTGCGAGTCCACAGCTGCTATCAGATGCCTACCCACGTAGTAGTACTCTTAGGATTTCCCAGTATCTGTTTGCATCTTAATGCTGTGATAACGAAAGAATTACCTACAAAGGCTCTTTTTTGTTCAATATACTCCACGTTTCGGCTAGTTGTAGTAACAGTTGAACATTATGGTGCCAAAACAACATGGAATTGCATTTCAGGCTCTTTCTCATTGCAGCAGCAGTCGCTAATATTGGACACCATGATAGTTCAAAAAGGATCAACGGCGGTTTACTTTATATAGCTAAAACAGCCCACCGTATCTGGAATTGTCCAATGGGTAGCTACTTTCTAATGTTACATGTGGATAACGTAGCCGCAACATAGAAAGATCTTCCTGCTTGGTGGGTTTGAATAGGATTCGGATTCATTGCCAATCTCGAATATATGTGGCAACCGCCTAGAATCTCTCTCTCTCTCTATCTATCTCTCTCCCTCCCTCCCTCTCTCTCTCTCTCCCTCTCTCTCTCTCTCTCTCTCTTTCTTTTTATCTTGTCGCATACTGACGTCTTAATTTTTAAGAATGGGAAGTATATCAAAATCTCTATAGTTCTACCTTAACTAGTTTTTCAGTATAAATCACCTATATCCTAGATTCATCTTTCCCGTACCATATTCGACGCGCTCCTCCATGATCCAGCTTTAAGTGGCGAGATTGAAGTTCTTCCAGCTCGCTGTTTCTCTCAGATGAGGTTCCCCAGAAACCGTGTGCATCCTGGAAATCACTGGTGAAGTAAGCCCAGAGTTGGTCGTTTGGAGTCCGACAGGGCCCAAGGCAGTGATATGTACGAAGGGTAAAGTGCCACTCCTTTTCGTTTATATCTTGTTCGAGCGAGATGTCGTAGTCGGTTGCGCACAATAAGCATGATCCTTTTTCTGGGTTGAACTTTTCAGACCTGAGGTCCTCCAAAACATCCCCCCACCTACCCGTCAGTGAAGCGATGTAAAGACGTCGATCCACGGGCTTTTTCGAGGCCTGGCGGTCATGGCGACAGAATCGCGGTAGCGACGCTGCACATTCCAAGTGTTGGCATATTCCAGGTCGTACGCTCTCAATCAGCCTTGCAATTTGTTCCCAGCGCACCAGCGGTCCAACCATTGTAAAAATTCGGCCGATATAAAGACTCCCATCGACGATTTTGGGGGTAGATTGACTAGAAAACCTCCAAAGATCTTTTTTTCTTGGGCTTATGGTCAAAGTCGGCTGGAAGATTCCGCTCGTAGTTTTGCAAGAGGGGCTTGAGCCAAACGAATAGCGACACTGACACTTACTCAATGCCAGCTTTTCCTCGTAACTCGCAGAGGACTGCAAGCTTTGAAGCGAAATACCGTGAGAGGCCCCATAGAAATGGCGGTTCATTACCAGATATGCGGTCATGAAACAAATGGTAGGAGTTTCCGCGAAGAGGAAATAGGGTGGCGACAAGTAGAGATTGCCCCTCCTTTGAGTTCCATTTGTCCACATGGAATTCTCGATGGCTTGAACGGTCGATCTGTGGTTCTGCCCATCCCAATCGGCTTCGGGGTTCAATAGTCGGAGCATGTTGCAACACCAGCAGAAATAAGCATGAGGTACATCTTTTGACAATGTGGACAAGAATTCAGCCAGTTCTCCCTTTGTGAGACAAGGCAGATTGCCTTCACGGAACAGAACCGCCATGAAGCGTTTGCAGGTCACGGCCAAAGCTGTTTGCCATTGCGGTTCTAAGCAATCCTTTATGTCGAGGAGGATCTCGACTGGCATGGTCACGAACCAACATCTCGGCGTTCTTTGTGCTATGTCGAAAGAGGCATCCGGTGTTCCTTGTGATGCGTCGAAAGAGGCATCCGGTATTCCTTGTGCTGCGTCGAAAGAGGCATCCGCTTTTTGTGAGGACTCTTTGAGAGCCTCTAATTTAATTCCCATCTGACTTTGCTGTTTAATCATATGTTGCCGGTTCTTTATTGTTTTTAGTAGGTTTTGATGTTTGAGGAAGAAAGATCATTGCTCATAGAACTGAAGGGTCATGGCTACTGTCGTTCCTTTATAGGCCTTTTGTAGCAAAAGGAGTCACATATTCACGCAATATGGCTTATCTTACTTTGAGAAATATTTCGTATCATACTAAACTCAAAATTTGATCTTGGGCTTTTATCGATGATACTTTGCAGCTCCAATCTTCAAGATTCGAGTTGGTGGATTGTGGCCGATCAGTTTGAGCTACGGATTGATTCAGGATCATGAAATAAAGGCCGGGTCGCAGCCCTGCTCTGAACTATACATTATGAATTCATCAGCCATCTTGAACAATGTATGTTCCATATGGAACTCAATAATATAATTGCCTATATGCGGCGTATGCCCCACATGACTCATTTGACTTTTAGGAGGATAGAGGCGGTGTATATTATTATGTGTATAGATGCTAATACGAACAGACGTAATGATATAAAGGTACATATACGCTAGGTAGATTATAAAAAAAAACATTATTCTTACACGTGGTATGGAATATATTGGAATCCCCCAGAAAATATAAGGTATGTCTCTCTGGGAGAATGTCGACAGCCTCTAGAACTGACTGAGTGTGAATTCACATCCAGACCCTAGCAGTAGCACATTGCGTTGATAGTTGGAAATGTACTGTTGAACTAGTCCTATTGACACCGAACATAAGGCAAGAAACCTAGTTTGTCTGAGGAATATAAGAATCACTAGGCTGATCAAATCATCTTATCAAAACGTGTTCGTCAACTCATGAGAGAAATATCAGAGTATATTCTTCATTAACATACTGCGCTCGCTATCTTTAGCTCCCTTCACGCCATTATCGCTTGACATTCCCACAAGAAAACCGTGCCTCGCTCTGACCCATCTTTAGCTCCCCTCATGCCATTCTCGCTTGATATTGCCACAAGAACACTGTGCCTTGCTCTGACTATGATCATGTCTTCTTCCCAAGTTTCCCACGAGAGATTTCCAAAATTTGTCTTTTGGAGACCGACATGATCCAAGGCAGTGATACGTGATAAGCCTGAATCGCCATTCCTTGTTTTCTTTATTCTGGTGGAGTGAAATCTCGTAGTCCGTATCGCAAAATAGGCATGAGCCGCCCTCCGGATAATTTTTGGGCGGTTCGAAATCCCCTTCCATATTGTATAATCTTGGAACAATGGATATATAGCTGTCCGAGTTCGCGTGTGCCATGGGGCCATGTTGAGCAGGGCATACTAGTCTCGCATCTGCCAAGCATCTCCAATGGTTGCAAATCTCTGGCGAACAGCTACTGATGAGCCTCGCCATACAGTTCCAAGGCATCAGAGGACCAACTATCGTGTAGAATCGACCCAAATACAGTTTGCCATGGATAATCTTTGGAATCATCTGAAACGAAAGCCTCCAGGCGGTCTCTTTTCGATCAGGTTCATCGTCCTTCCGCTCATAGAGGCGATAGTCGGATCCTGAAGGACTTTGTGACTCCTCCTTGGTTACGCCTTGGAACGGTGAACTGTGTTGGCAATTATGCAACTCGATATGGTCTTGAAACGACGCATACCGTTCAAGAATGTGAAGCGGCAGGCCATGGGAGGAACCCAGAAAATGTTGGTTCATAACTAGGTAGGCATCCATAAAATCAACAGAGAAATAGTCTTTGAACGATGAAAAATAGTATGGAGCCGGTACATGCCAGTTATTACCTGAATTGATATTCCACGTTGGGTATTTGAAGTATCCAATGTTCCATTTGTGATCATGACCATTCCAATCCACATCTGGTATCAGTCGGCGTAACCGGTGGCAACAGAAGCAGAAGTATGTGCCAGGTATATCTTTCTGCAAAGTTGAAAGGAATGTGATACGGTCCTCTTTGCTGAGCCGTGGTAGGGTATTCTCAGGAAATAACACTTTCATCAAGCATTTGCAAGTCAAAGCGAGAGATATTTGTGTTGGAATTGGTAGGTAAGATGCTATTGGGAGAAGAAGTTCGACCGGTAAGGACAGTAAAAATGGACATTCCCGATTAACAGTGGAAGGATTTAGTGTCAACTGGATATCCATTTTAGATATATTTGTCGCTTCTACCCGTGGGATTCGACGACTGTGCGGAGAGTAGCAACTTTGTGGACAATGGTGAGTTGGCGAATCATGACGGTCACGCGGCCAGGGCCTACTTATATTCTATCTGAGATGAAATTTATTGGGAAGGAAGAATGTTGCCCTCTAAAGCATCTAGAAAAGAAAATAGAAGTTATTTATAACCTTTTTTGGCCTATCTTATCACCATAGTAACAGGATGGCATACTAGGAGACGGGAAAGAACCCATACAGTTCATGTTATGTAGAAACAAAGAGCTACATCGCATATTAAACTTTGAGTGGTGTCGACGTATGGATGTATACCTTTTTGGAGAAAGGAAGACGGCAAAGAGCCTATTATTCGAATTTACATATACATGTAGGTAGAGATAAAATTATTAAAAGAAAATGAAGTGTCTTCCGTTGTTTTCGCCTCGTGTCATATAGCAGCCTGCAGAGCGTGGCTTCCTCAAGTATACCTCTATGGAAGCTTCAATGTTTGTTTGAACATAACACGACAATCTTTACTGAACTTGGGGCCAGCTTGACCTCCAGATCATAGAAGAGGAATTCTGGGCGGGATAGAATTTTTATTATATCTAAACTCATCGGTTTACATTGCCATTTGTGTAACTTAAGATGCGCCAGGTAAACTTATAGTTTTTCATCCGGTGCCTCCTCGTGCCACTTTCGCCGGGCTACCCCAGGATCAACCTCCAGATGGCGAGATCTTATTTCTTGGGCCGAAGGGAAGTTTCCAAAGTCAAACAGCCCGTCATTGGAATCAAAGTTACGCGGGAGTTTGAAATCGGCATTTAGTAGTAACTTCCAACAAGGAGCTTGTGGGAGGGGGGTAACAAAATAATTCCAATGTTTATCGCTCGGAGACCGGCATGATCCTAGGCGATGATAGATACTAATTTTGATGGTCGTTTCGTTGTTCGTTTTTAGATCAACTGAGATATCGTAATCTGTGCTGCATAATAAGCAAGAGTCGTGCTCCGGATCAAATTCGATTATTTTTCCATCACCATCACGGTAAAGATTTTTTGACCAAATGAATGGACAGCAGCGCAAATAGCGCCTTGGTAAGCGTCTCCCGAGGTAGCAGCAATACGGGAACGCCGAGCAGGTGAGATGACTGCAGATTGGTATCGAAGTACTCTCCATCAACTTTTTAAGTTGCTCTCGAGTCACTGGAGGCCCAGTTAACGTATAAAATCTGGCAATGAAGAGCTCATCATCGATGATCTTCGGGCTGGATCGAAATAAAAATCTCCAGGCGTCTTCCCTCCTTGGCAGAGCTTCGGGATTTTCTTCGAGAAATTTGGCTTCTGGATCCACGAAATCTTCCGAGATATAGTCCCTTTTTTTCAACTTACGGCGGAACATAATGCATCTGCCTAATTCGATAACATCCTCGAGGATACTACATCGTTCGAGGCCCCGGAGAGATGTACCATGAGAGAGGCCATGAAAGTGTCGATTCATGACCAAGTTTGCTTCCATAAATGATATTTTGGTATCGAAGAGAAAGGAAGAAAAAAATGGCGGAAGCTTAATGTGTAAGAAATTGGTGGGATCGGGCGCCCATCGTGAATTCGTGAAAACTCCAGCAGTCTCTGTATGAGCTTGGTTTTTGTAATCAAGGTTAGGATCGAGTGTGCGCAGCTTGTTGCAACAATAGCAGAAATACATATTGGGGATGTCTCTTTGTAAGGTTGAAAGAAACTCAACCAGATATTTTCCCTCAAAGCGTGGTAGAGTGTTTCTGCGAGTTAACTCTGAGAAGAATCTGCAAGTCAAACCTAAAGAAAGTTGCCATGGCGACGGTAGGTGACTTATGACCGATAGGAGGATTTCTGTTGGAAAAGATAATATTGGCAAATGGATGGGTTCAGTTGAGTCCCGAAGTCTTTTCTTAGAGTTCTCAGCCTCAATGAGGCGCTGGCTTCGACGTCTGCGCGAGTATGTTCTAGTGTTCTGATACATGGTGCGGAAGCTGAGCGTAATACTTAACTCATAATGGATCTAGTAAGATATCGCCGGGAAACGGCATGGTTTATATAGGGAACAAGTAGGTGGCTCAGTAGACTAAAGAATCAAGCCAACTAGCTGCATTCAGTTTACATGTGAAAGAAACACAGCCATATCCATCTGTACGTTTATTACCAGGCTCAACAGTTCCGTACAAGGCTGTTAGTCACGGCACCCCAACCAACACGCAAAACCACCTCCACCAACTGTTGGGCGCCGAGCTTGACATCAGTTTGGCGTCATGTAGACCTTATCTCCTCTATGCTGCACTCTCTAGAGGCGCAGACTTATTCCCCAAAGTCCGGTAGATCAAACCTAAAGAATCGTATTGCTAATCAGGAACACTTCAGCCGATTTTTGTTCCTATCACGCCACTGCCTCAGAGCGCATGCGGAGCTGCTGCCAGCTAAGCCGGTAAATTCTTGGTTGCCTCCCAAAGGCTGCGAGATCGGACTCAAGAAAACAGATCCCGAATGACTGTGCCGGGAACACTTCATTGTTATTCAGGATCGTTGTAATGGCCGCCCCGCGGTACGAGATTGAAAACGTTGTCACTAGCATACGAAAAGATGACAATGATGCTCGCTTCACAGTTCGGCGCAATGGCAAGGTTTTTTATATTAAGCTTTCACCATCCAACTTCGTCAACTCTCCCAACATGACGAACAAGTACAAGGCTTACCTAGAAGTTTTGAATTCCGGTCAGGAGGTATTAGGTGAAATATACGACACCGACTTCTATAATTGGGCGATGGCTCCATTCGAGCCCTTCTTTACCAACCTCGCGCCTGATACGCCAGTTGAAACCATTACAGTCACCTTGAAAGAATATATTATCCCGAATTCTTCGTCTTTATACTTGATATAATCGATGAGAAGCTACAACCACGCCTCGTGCCAACTGAGGAGTCGCCCTATTGGCCATCCTTTATTCGCTTCGATGATGACTTTCTCGATTACTTAGAGACTTGGACATCTTTGTACGATCCAGCCAACATCATCATCAGCCATAAAGCACCCAAAGACGCACTCTTTAAGGCACCAAAGAAGGTTTTGATTGACAAGGGTCAGACTGTGTGCTTCTTCAAACGTTGTTATGGCAGTATACAGATCACCCAGGAGCTTACAACCTATAAAAAGATTCATGAGGCCGGTCTAGGCTCTTCAGTGAACGTCTGTCGCCTATACGGTATTGTGATGGATGATTGTGACTTCATTCTTGGGCCGTTATTAACCTACATCGAGTGCGGTGATCGACCATTATCCGCAAGAGTCCACCCTGAAGAACCCGACGACCCTACGCCTGCAGTTAAGGAACGGTGGATGGGCCAGCTCGAACTGCCTTATCAGCACTGCACTAGAATCGTATAGTTTGTGGAGACGTCAAAACAGCAAACGTTTTGATTGATGAGAACGAAAATGCCTGGTTGGTTGACTTCGGCGGCGGTTACACTGAGGGCTGGGTAGACAAGGAGGTAGCAGGGACGGTGGTGGGAGACTTTACTGGGATGACTAGGTTGAGGACGCTTTTGTTTCCTGCAAAATAGAGGCTATGACCGGTTGGAATATCACGCTTATCTCCGTTACAGAGAGCAATAGAAGAGTGTTTTTGGCGTCGACCGACGTTGGCATCCAGCAATGGTTTTGGCGTGTTGATACTGGGCGGTTATAAATACCAGCAAATTATATATCCAAAAGTTAGCCGCGTAACTTGACAGGCTGTCGCGAACTAGCTACTATACCATTTGACGATAAATCTGTAATGGTGAAAATCTGGTAGTGTAAGTCGTACGTCCCGACATTGGCGCCTATTCCACCTGTGGAGCTCCAGGACAGAAGCCAGCCCTCTAGTCAGCAACCGTAATATATGGCAATTCTCAGGCCTGCGTTGCTGACTACACTATCATTAAATGAGATTTGGTTTGCTGCAGATGTGCTCACGCAAAAGCATCATTCGCCGACCGTACATCTTTTTCAGGGATCCTATGCGTGCATAGCGTCCAATCTCATTGACTCTCCATTTATCTGATCAAAAAATAAACCATGAAGAATTATATATAATGGACACAGTATTTGGCACTCTGACGATGGCTCTCTGGGTTGGCACTTGCCACAAGAGGAAGACTTTGTGGATGGATCAAAGTAGGCAAATCAATTGGACTGATGCATCGGTATGGCAAACGGGCAGGCGAGCAGACGGGCAAGTTTATGAGCTCCGTCAGGTGTGCTCTCATACTATCAAAGGGCCATTCACAGTATGACATATGGCAATATGGGGCTTTCAGCTTCCTGGTTGGCTATTGTCTATTGTCCCTGTTAGCCTTGATGCCTAATACGCGAGCCCAATTCTTATCCTTTGAACTTGCCTGCAAGTTTCTTCGTAACAATAAACTCATTATATTAACTAAGCCCAAGCATTGCGAACTTCTCAGTATCTAATATCTTTTAAAAGTCCATAAATTCTCCGGGAAGTGGTTACTACGAGTTGGCACTAGAACTCTGATGGTAAGCCGAGAACAAGAGCCGGATGCAGTGATCCGCCCTAATAAAGAGACTCAGATACATCTGTATACCAAGTTTGATTCCGTTGCTCTCTGGTATCTTTATCTACCTAATTTTTATATTTCTCAGGCCGCCTGGTTCTCGCTATTTCACAATGCAGTCTTCAATTACTGTCGATGAAGGTTTGTGTGAAAAGTGTTGCGAACTTTTGAACGCAGTTCTCCAAGTTTCTTCAACTAAAGATGACGAATCCGACATGGATATTGACCACTATAAAGTCCCAACCGACCTCCAAGCTTCAGCAGATGGGGGCTGTCGCGGTTGCCAGATTTTTTGGATGCACATGAGCTGCGGTGGAATAGGAGAGTACTCTATGCTTACTATAAAGCAAGGTTATCTGGAAAAGCGTACCTACTTTCCCACATTGACTTATGGTATAAAGTTGGAAAATACGCGTAAACTTGATAACATTGTGGTTTCTATCAACATTCCTCTCCTCAACAAGAAGACGTCTTATCAAGAAATACCTCCAATTTTACGTACGAAACCCCAACCAACGTGGTGGTGGGATACTCACTGTATATTTTTAGGGTTGGCGAGTGGAAATATCGATGATGAACTTATGACGCTCATGCAAACGACTATTAAATGGATAGACAACTGCAGTCAAAATCATGAGAAATGTCAACGAATACAAGGCCTCAAGGAAAAACCCAATATTATACCAACTCGGTTGGTAGATGTTCAATCCAATGATGGAAGCACGGCCAGGCTTGTCAACACCAAAGAGTTGGCGAGTGACATAAACCCAAAATATCTCATTCTAAGCTATTGTTGGGGAATGGGGAACCAACCGGCAAAAACAACACGGAGCAACTTGCGTCAAAGAAAACACCGAATTATGGTATACGACTTACCAAAAACGATTCAAAATGCTATCACGATCACAAGGCTCATGGGGATCCGATATCTCTGGGTTGATGCACTATGTATCATCCAACCAGACAATGACGACTTTCTTGACGACTGGAATAGCGAGGCAGCCCAAATGGGAAACTACTATTCTAACGCTCTATTTTGCATCTCAGCCTTGTATGCATCGGAAGGATTCCTTGGAGAGAGGCACTCAGCCCGCTACCCTTGGAGAGAAGAAGAGGCCATCCAGTATGGGGAAAACTTTCTTTCTTTCCAACCACTTGAAGGAACCATAGGTGATGAGCCCGACCTCAAATACATGCCACTAATGAGGCGTGCCTGGGCTCTACAAGAAAGGATTCTATCCACTCAAAGATTACACTGGAGTGGGATCGGTCTGTTGTGGGAGTGTGACAGTGGTCTGTTCCAAGAGAATCAGCCGTTTCGGAATCTGCGCCAGCAGCACAGTGAGACTTATAGAAGAACGGATCATTTTTTACGGGAGATCTTGAGTTTGCCCAAAGAAGAAGCTTTAGGAATTGCTTGGCTCGGCATAGCAGCTCAATACGCTGGCATGAAGTTGACAAAGCCAACAGATCGTCTCGCTGCCATTCATGGAGTTGCCCGTCGTCTTTCATTACAACATAATGTGGAATACTTTGGTGGAATCTTCAAGGGATTTTATTCAAGAGCTCTTCCTTGGGAATGTATGAGGATCGGACATGAAAGAGATGGGTTCATTCGAAAGGATTTTCCTAGCTGGTCTTGGGCTTCAGCTGCGAATTTCGGTTACAGCCTCGACTACGATTCAAGAAACAAATCTTTGAGAATCAAAGATCTCATTCGATATGCCGACCCGGAACAGTCTATTTCTCTTGATGAAATCATAGACTTCAGAGACCGTTCTAAGCGAAAGCTTTTGTTACAGGCTCCTTTGGTTTCGATGAAAATAGGATCACATCAACCCATAACCCTAAAATCTGAGGGATCATATTTTGATTTAGTTGCAACCGTCGAAGGCCCAATATGGAGAGGGCGGATAATTTATTGCCATATGGATCGTTGGATGAAACTTCCGGAACCGTCGGCAGTAACTCTCCTCGTATGCAATGGAGACATCAGGGAAGGATTGAGAACCGCGCTTGATAGTGTAGTCTATTATAAGGGTCTAGTGTTGAGAAGATCGGAGGAAGATGGACCAAATGCGTTCGTGCGGCTAGGTTTTTTCAGAGTCGGCATTCCTTGGTCAGAGGAGGAGGAGGAGGGCGGCTATCTAAATGAGTGGGAAACGGATGTCTGTTTATTTTAGCTTCTTATAGTGAATCAAATAAGGATGGTACCAATTGTGGAGTGTTGAACAACATATTGTCAGGAACGGCGGCTCAAAGGAAGAGTGGAAGAGTCAGGGATGAAGGCAGCACGGTCACTATCACGGACCACGCAGCTAGGGTTATACAAAGGACTGTATTTATCTCTGACCTCTCTAGAAACAAAGGCCGGGGCCTCTTTCTTGTACCTCTGTTCAGTCTCCTCAGCCGTCTAGCTAGCTAGTTGAGAACTCAGACACCCCTATCCGGGTCCAAGGAGGAGGGAAACACTTCCTTTGTGGCTGGCCTCTGACACATATACATACCTGTACTATCAAAATACGCCTATTCTTGTTTTTATTAATGTAAATCGTCAATTGATTACATTCAATGTCCGTTCCTTGTACATATGTAACCTTTTCTTGTCATTTCTATTTGCATTATCACAAATCTGCATTCTCGTGGATTATCAGTCGCGACTTGACGGACAAGAATTTATTTCACAACATTTTACATAAAAAATAAGAGCAATAAAAATAATACACTATCGCATCTTTAAACAAAAGCATTGACAGACTATAATAAGCATCGTATTGTATGTCAAAGCATCCTAGGAAGAGTCTCCCTCATCGCCCTCATGCCATCTCCGCCGCGCTTTCCCAAGATCCATATCCAGATGCCGATGCTTCATTTCCCAGTATAAAGGATTCAGTGGCCCACACACATCTCGAACAAGATAGTCCCAAAGGAGGTCGGCTGGGGAGCGACAGGCTCCGAGGTAGTGATATGTGCAGATCTTCAACCTCCACTCTTTCTTGTCGTTATCTCTTTGAAGCGAGATATCATAATCGGTGTAGCAGTACTGACATGAACCGCTTTGCTGGAAATGGTGATCATGGTTCCAGTCTTTTTGGCAGATACTCCGATTGTTGTGGCTTCGGCTGATGATAATATGGCAATATGAGTACGTTTCCGTAATGCACTTCATGTGGCGGCAAATAGGCAGGTGAATGCTCTCCAAGAGTCTCGCCAAGTGCTCCCAGCCCACCATTGGCCCTTCAACTGTGTGAGTTCTAGCGATGTAGAGCTCATTGTCGATAATCTTTGGGATGGAGTCAAAGGAAAACCTCCAGGGGGCTTGAAAAGCCTTTGCTTTGGATCCCTGTGGTCTGACATCGAATACAGTCTGTTTGCAGGCTTTTGACACCTTCAAAGCCACTCTCAGGTCATCATTCCAGTCGTTTCGATCATTGATCGTAGTCCTGTTCAATATGATGAACTTTTCGAACTTTGAGTGTCGCTCGAGTGTCGAAAGGGGAAGTCCATGAGACTCGCCATAAAAGTGTCTGTCCATTACCAAGTATGCTTCCATGAAGTTAAGGTGTGCTTCTTTGAGAACGGGATGCCAGAGCAATGGAATCTGCTTCTGGGGAATATGTTTGTGGACCAAGTCCCAGTCGCCAAACAAGCCCGACTTGCCGCATCCATGGTCATTTTGGCCCTCCCAGTTCCGATCTTGGTTTAGAGGACACAACTTGTGGCACCTAAAACAGAAATATACGTTGGGTATATCTCTCTGCAAGATGTACAACATTGACGAAGTTTCCATTTCGTCGGGTTTGTTTGATGTTAGAATTCGGAAAGTATTGTAAAAGCCCTTGCAGGTAAGAGCCAGGGAAAGGCGGAAAGGCATTGGGAGATGGTCCATTATCGTAAGTAAAATCTCCGGTGGGATGTTTGCGATGGCACATGATCCTGTCCTCGGCGTCATATCGAGATAAGAGTGCTCCATCTGGAAAATCTCTCCAGGTGCCCGTGGCGGCTCTCGTCGACGAGGTCTATACCGTACAAGTCGAGTGTTTGCCATTGTGAGGATTGGGTCAAAGTAGATTTTAATTTGGTCAAGATAGGTTTGAATTGGATCAATATTGGTTTGAATTGGGTCAAGCTAGATTTGAATTGAGCTTTTATTCACGTTGGATATTGCAAAATTGTGTGTGAGGAAAGATTCAAATCACAATTCTAGGGGGGGTGGCCATGTCTTTATAGGCAAACAAATACAAGAAGAATTAGCATGCAGCATCCAAAGTTATAAAGACACAATAAACAGTAAACAAGACGTGTTGCCCAGCAATATCGAAGTATAAGGTATCAAACTCGACGATGGCTTCGTATGTGGCGGATTGTAAGTATAAGACTCGGACGGTGGTTGGTCCAGGTATAACATGGGGGAGATCTATGTCTAGTGGCGTCTGATTTACAACACCAATTCACTCCCACAACCAAGCCACAGACAATTTTCTTTTTAGATAATGGACGATTACCTTTTCTAGGAAGCTGTATTATGGACGTTGTCTTGGTAACAGTGATATAAGAGATCTTTGAGAGAGTATATCTGTACGATATCAGATAAGGCATGGGGAGATAGATAGGGGACACGGCCAAGCGGACGGTAAGCAGTACGATTTACAATAGAGGTCTTTAATTATAGAAATTGAGTAAATGAATAGTCCAATGCTTAGGTATGATATGGATACAACCGCTTGTATAGTCTGGGCATCTCTTTTCATATAAGAGACAGTGCGTTGTTCGTATCGCCACAGTACGGACAGCTTCTCGGAGGATTTGCCCGATCTCCCGACTTCACCAGATCCACAATATATCGTCCAATATCATATCAGATCGTTTCTCGACTCACGACAGCCAAACTCGAGCAATTGGCAGCCGACACGGCGTGACTTGCGCCAATCATGTCTGCCTCACTGCTGCGGTCGCGTCTCGCTGCCACTGGCCTCAAGTCCGTCCCCCGATCGACATGCCCCTCGCAAAACTCTCTCAGAACTTCAGTCCCTCGTCGCTATAATTCGAGCTCAGCCGGCAGCTCTGGTGGCGGATTCAAGGTTGCAGCTTATAGCACAGCGCTGGCGGCTGCTCTATACGCCTCATACTACTATACGACCGACACGCGAGCATTCGTCCACCGATATGTCGTCCCGCCGCTGCTGCGAACCGTCGTCCCCGATGCCGAAGATGCGCACCATTTGGGCGTTTCAGCGCTGAAGCTTCTCTACGAAGTCGGCTTGAACCCCCGGGAACGTGACGCCGCTGCCAACAGCTCCAGCCTCTCAGCCACCGTCTTCGAGCACCAATTGGCGAACCCGATTGGCATCTCAGCCGGTCTGGACAAGGATGGCGAGATTCCCGATGCGCTGTTTGCGCTCGGAGCCGGCGTTGTCGAGGTCGGTGGCTGCACGCCGCTGCCGCAAGAGGGAAACCCCAAGCCTCGAGTCTTTCGCGTGCCGATTCTCGACGGAATGGTCAACCGATACGGCCTCAACTCAAAGGGAGCCGACGACATGGCGATCCGCCTGCGCGACCGACTTCGACGATTTGCGCGCTCAATAGGAGTCACCGAGGAGGAAATCATTAGTGGAGAGGCCGGTGTTCCTGTGGGAAGCTTGAAGCCTGGACGCATACTCGCCGTGCAAATCGCAAAGAACAAGGAGACCAACGAGAAGGACGAGCAGGCCATTGCCTCTGACTACGTCTACTGCACACGGCGGTTGGCCCGTTATGCCGATGTTCTAGTCGTCAATGTGAGCAGCCCCAACACGCCAGGTCTCCGAGACCTTCAAGCCGCAGAGCCCTTGACACGATTACTCGCTGCCGTTGTCGACGAGGCGTCTCGAACAGACAGAGAAGTGCGCCCCAAGGTCATGGTCAAGGTTTCTCCCGACGAGGACGAAGATTCGCAAATGGAGGGCATTGTCCAGGCTGTGCAGAAGAGCGGCGTCGACGGCATCATTGTCGGAAACACCACTAAGCGGAGAACCGGCCTCAACCCCAAGGGAGCCAAGCTCTCAGTCAGGGAGCAAAAGGCACTGATGGAGACGGGCGGCTACTCTGGCCCTGCCATGTTCGACCGCACATTGGATCTCGTTGGTCGATACCGCAAGCTGCTCGACTCGCAGCCTAGCGAGGGCAAGGGTGAGCAAAAGGTGCTTTTTGCGACTGGAGGCATCACGAATGGAGAGCAGGCGTTGAAGGTGCTGAATGCTGGTGCGAGCGTAGCGATGGTGTACACGGGTTTGGTTTACGGAGGAGTTGGAACGGTTACAAGGATGAAAAAGGAGATGCGCGATGCTCTATAGAGGCGTGATTTCGGGAGATGCAATGGAAGGATTTCCATGAGCGTCTTAGAGGTGTTGAAAGGAGATATATGATATACTACTACTACCTTTGTATTTATAACGAAAAGTCGGATAGCAACGTTGTGTCAATGTCAGTGTATAGACGGACATATGAATTTTCTAAACAATTTCTTGGGCATGATGTCTGTCTCGTATTTTTTTGACATGTAATGTTTTAGACCATCTCGTACAATAATAGCAGTGTGTACACAAGGTTTACAGCAGCCAACAGACTCTACGCAACCACCAAACTCTTAATAACCAGAATCTTTCTTCAAATAAATCTACTTCTAATTCATAAACCAAATATTTGTCACTACAGCTATATTTCCTCTTTCTCTCTTTGAATAAGACTCAAAATGTAGCAACAAAATGCAGGGTAATTGAAAGAAAGATACCCGCTAGCCCCAAACAGGCAAGGCACAGGTACAAGCAAGGTGCGCCACATGACCCCACTAAAAAGTTCAAATCGATATCGATTTCTCCAGGCTTTTGAATTTTACCATCTTGAAGCAAAACTACCAGCCGCAGCTCATCCGCCCATCATGGCCGCCGCAACGACTCTGCCCGCCCTGTTGGCGTCTCTAACACAGTCGCTGTCTCTGGCACAAGAGGGAACTTCAAAAATCTCAACCATTGACCACCCGAAAGATGGAATTTCGCTCCTCGACGTCAAGAACGAGCTGCTGCTCTCATACCTCCAGAACCTCGTCTTTCTCATCCTCGTCAAGCTACGAAACGCAAAGTCAGATGGAAAGGCCGCATCAAAAGAAAAGGATCAAGATTTAGACGATGCTGTGCGAACAAAGCTTGTCGAGCTACGGCTGTTTCTCGAAAAGGGAGCCCGGCCGCTGGAAGAGAAGCTGCGGTTCTCCATCGACAGATTCCTTCGGACGGCGGAAGATGCGCAGCGACGCGAGAAGATGAAGGAAGCCAAGGAAAGCGCAAAGACTGGATCTAGCACGGACGAGTCAGGCTCGGGCTCTGAAGATGATGAGGATGAAGACGAAGAAGACGACTCCGAGGCCGAAGACGGCCACTCCAGGCCCCAACCCAAGCGAGGCAACCTCTCTGCCGCGCCCAACATGGGCTCTCTCATGGACGACGTTGCCATCCGTCCCGCCAAGCGCGACCAAAACGATGATGCTCCCGCCGGTGTATACCGACCCCCTCGCCGCGAGCGTCAAGTCATGGAGACGACCCAAACCCGCGAAAAGGCCGCTCGCCGCCCCATGCGCTCACACACCATGGAGGAGTTCGTCGCCTCTGAGCTCTCATCCGCACCCATCGCCGAACCCAGTATCGGCACGACCATCGTCCAAGGTGGTCGCAGAATGAAGACACAGCAGGAGCGCAAGGACGAACAGGAGCGCACCGAATACGAAGAAATGAACTTTACCCGTCTGCCCAAGGAGAGCAAGAAGGATCGCGCCAAGAAGGCCAAGCAAGCCGGTCGCAGCGGACGGATGCAGTTTGGCGGCGAGGAGTGGCATAATCTCGGCGAGGGCGTTGATCGCATCGATCGGTTGACCAAGCGAAAGGAGGGCGGCGCAGGATCTGGCGTCAGAGCCATGCTGGAGAAGAGCCGGAAGCGCGGAGGTGATACGGAGGATGGACCGAGAGGGAGCGGACACCAGATGGGAGAGAGATTCCACAAGAAGGCTAGGCTGATGGAGATTGGACGGGGAAGCAGAGGGAAGGGCAGGAAATAGATTTTTGTAATAGCATGATGCTGGGTTGCGCTCATATACGGCGTTTTTGGCTTGTAAAAAGTTGTATACAGTGATATTATATTATAATTAAGCACATATGTAATATCTTGAAGGATGTACAGTGAATATCTAGAAACGAATCATATCACAACGCCCAAACACCTCTCATGCAAGCATAACACATACCCTCATCCATCCCGTATTCATACAATCTCCCTAATTCCCCTTTTCATTCCTAAACAGCTCCTTCTCAAGAAACTTTGGACAAATCACCTCCCACTTCTCCATCGTCCCGCGATCCGTCGGAATGCCCTCCGCCAACTGCGCGATGCCCTCCTTGCGCCTCTCCTCAAACAGCGGCTTCGCTCTCCTATACCACCACGTCTGACTCCATTGCCTCTCCCGCTGGTACTTTTCCACCGAGTTGTGGTGAATCATGACGGGCACCGTGCCGATGCAAATCTCCGTGTACAGCGGCATCGTCGCCCACATATCCGGCATCATTCCTCTCATCCATGGGAGAGGCTTGTCGCTGGGTAGATCGTTTGGTAGAGACATCATTTCAGTTTTGGGGACGCAGTCGAATTTCCCTGTTTTACCCATTTGCTGCTTCACGGGGAGGCTGTGGCGGATATACCGCGCATCAGTGACAGCGTTGGATGTCTGATGACCTAGTAGAGACCAATAATCCAGAGCAATGCCGAATTCATACGGCTTGTTGGGAAGATGCGTCTTGTTGTACTGCTGATGAGTGAAAGCAGGTTCCAGACGATCAAGCACAGGGACTTGCTGGACAACCGTAGGAGGCGGCCTTGATCCAGCTCGTCCTGGAACGACTCTATCAAGCACCTCATCAACACGGGTGCGATGATGCCGCCTCATGACTTCGCGATAATACTCTTGTTCTCCAAACATCTCGACGAAGATGCTCTGATCACTACCCTTGTAACACGCATCCGATGCCCCAGTTCCGTCATCAAACGAAGCGCCTTTTCGGTTCTGACATTCCTCCAGTTTCTCCAGAGCTCTCTCTAACACGCGACGTACTTCTCCCACCGGTCCAATAATGTATCCCGAGTTGAGATAGCGAGTCCGGTAGCTGCTCCATTGGCTGGTACCGACAAAAGTATCCGTGTTTCCGCCGTAAAGGTCGTTTGGGAGTGGTGATTCCGGGACCGGATAGCAGGCCACGGAGGTAAGCAGATTCGGTGCGCAGCGTTTACCTGCTCCAAAGACGACCCGTGAATTAATGCCCTCCATGGCATAAGCTCGACCCATGCGGTGAGAAACTCGTGCGGCATCGTCCTCGAGAATGGCGTTGTAGCGAGACAAGAGTACGTCAAGAGGGAGCTGGAACCAAATATCGTATGCATCGAGCATCATGACGAGCTCCTCATTGAAGCCGGGCTGGTTGCGACGTTTAGGGTCATTAATGTAATCCAGAGTCCTTGTAATTTTGGCAAAATGTGAACCGCCTCCAAGAAGTCCACTCGCGCGGTCTTGGTCTGCCCAAGCGATAATCGTCGGGCTGGGATATCCTAAGAGGATCATGGTAAGGAGTGTCTTGCAAAAGTTGATGTTGCTTCTTGTGGCAGGTAAAAGAATGTGAATCTTTCGATCCGTAGTCTGAGAGATGGCGGCAGTCTGGTTACTCGGAGGTTGGGAAATGCGACTTGTGGTCCATGGTCGTTTCAACGTTTCTGAAGTTCCATGCTGGACAGTGTACTTTTCATTGTGTGAGTTAAGTAACTAACATGGAGTTGTCTTCATGACAACTTGGATTGTCACATCGACTTACTGGTGCAAGAATGTACAAAGCTAAAGTGCTAAAGACAAAAGCGATGCCGACTAGCGAAATGGGACGCCGGACCCGACTTGAGAAGAGTTGCAACATGATAGGATAAGTAGAGTTGTCCCAGGGAAATAAAGGAGAGTAATGAGCGCAATTCAATAGCTTGTTTTGCGTAAATTTGCAGGAATGAGTGACAAGAGTTTAAACAAAAAGAGCGTGCGCGACTTGATCGCTTTCGTTGACAAATTTGCCCCTGATTCTCAAGCGCAAGAGGATATGCCCTCAAGCACCACTCTCGCAACTCAACAAACAAACAAACAAACAAACACAAAAGGAGCGACAGACAATACAAGCCAAGAGGAAAGTAAGATAAGAGGAAAAAGAAAGGGAAAGAAGAAAGCAAGTGATCATAATCTTTGGACGATGGCCAGCACGCGTCCCCACATGATTAACTGCTTGGTGTTGCGGCTACGAAGCGATAGCGCAGGGGCGCGTTCAGCCGCAGATGCAAATCCTCCTTTCCCCAGGAACAAAGGACGTCTAAGCTGATAAGCCATGGAGCCGGTGTTGCCGCTGCCAAGATGTTAGGCAAACTATTATTTAGTCTTGCTTTTCCATGCTGTGAGCGCTGCCAAGTCCTAAACTCCCAGCGCACGGATTATGGAGTTGTCAAAGATATGTCAAAATACAGTAAGTCTTCTAGAACAGGACCCCTTGAAGTCTATTTGCTGTGTCATACAAGTGCCCGCCGCGGGCCGTCAGAATTTAGTTCAATATACCCCATGTATATAGGCTTGTGCGTTGAGTGATCATGATGAGCAAAGATGAAAAGGAACGGAAATTTGTCGTGGTGCACGATTGGCCGTTGGTGTTGTGATGCCCCCCTGTCGGATTATTGAACAAACATGGCACCACGGCTTTTGGCTTGACCCGAATCGGGGCTCTAATTTACCTCGACTTACTAGGCGTTTTTGGTATCAATCTTCAAGAGGTAAAGGGATTCGCAGCTAGGACTTGTAATTCTGGTGAGAGTCTCTTCATCATTCTCAGTCGCTCTGGTATCATCCGCTAGATGCAATTGTAGTGTCTACACCGGTATATACATGTATCCAGGTAAGACATGACATGCCTTTACTAGGATTGAGGCTGAACTATCTACTTCTTCCGGCTTTTTTATTGACAGCACCCTGAAGGGCTGAGGAAATTGAAGCTGAGAAACTGAGCGTGAGCATGCAACAAGGATGGCTGACATAAAGAAGCTCTCTGCTACATCGTCTCTTCTTTAGGGGAGTTAAAAGGGCTGTGAAAGCCGGGTTGTTGTCAATAATAGGGTTGCTTAATTAGCTTATTGGCTGTTACATCGGCCCCCCCCCTCGAGCGAGTTAAAATTGCTGTGAAAGCCAGAGCAAGGTTGTTGTCACTCTTGGAAGGCTGCTTGATTGGCTCTGCGATATTACAGAGTGCCTAGTTTTAACCTCCAGAGACTTGACCCCTCTGTGTTGCGTTGTATGAGCCACTGTTCGACGATGCCCGGTTTTGACGGGATGGTGCATCCTCTAGAATAAGAGTTTCTGGCATCTACATCTGTGGGCTATTCATCGCAGCTATTCAATCCTCAAACGTCGGGTTATTTAACCACGTACAAATTTTGTCAAGAGCAAACGTATCATGATGTGTCTCTGACGTCGTATAGTCCTTCATCTCGCAATCAATCCAGCCTTTCGTACCACGGCTTGTTGACAATTTCTCCCCAATTCTCCGAGACGAGCCAAAGTCAATCAGAATGGGTCTACCGTCCTCTGCCACAAGAACGTTTGCCGGGTGCAGGTCGTTATGGGCCCAGCCAAGTGTGTGCAAGTGAGAAACTGCCGCGTGCAGTGATTCCATGAAGAGCTCTTTATCTTGGATGGTTTGGCCACTCTTTAGGAAATCTTTCAAGTCGTAGGGATGTCGGTCCAGGACAAGTCCAGTGATGTATCCACGCCGAACACGGCAACCATGATATCCCACAATATTCGGGTGAGGTTGGCTCCTTAGCACTTCCATGACCTCTGCCTCCTCTACTAATCCATCGCGGAGGAGATGTACAACTTTATACTTTAAGAACACGTCATACTGGCCTACTTGAGGCCGTTTGATGAAAATGCCTGGAGGGAGCTCTTGAGGAGCTTTGGTTGTAGTGACAGCTTGGGGCCACGGTGGGAAGATTTCGTCGTCAGGAATTCGAGCGAGGGAGGCGGTGATTTCTTGAAAAGTAATGTCTGCTTTTGGCTTGTTTATCTCGCAGTAGAATATCTTGTCATCGTCCACCTTTGCGATTGCGGTATATTGGAAGTCCTCAGTTTCATTGTCAAATTGTTCATATACCCAAAGTAATTCTTCCCAGCTGGTAATCTCGGGCGCCATGGCGAGTGAATCTGAATCCATTGAGTTCTTGTGTTGGAAGAAGAAAAGAGCGGTCTGTGACGGGTTTCAATCCAACCCAAGGCCTGCATGTTCTTATGCCGCATTGACGCGATTGCGACGCACGATCCTCATATTGCATTCCAACGCCTTAAATGATGAATGGTACGAAACTTGCAATATTTTCAGCTCCGTCCGCGGCGTAAGAAGCATCACACATTTTCATTACCGGCATTAAATAGACTGTCTCTGCTAAGTAACCCTCGCCCCTATAGCATGTTATACCTAGCGAAAGGGGAGAGATCAAAGACAAAGGCCACAAACTCTCGGATACAACTCTCAGAATTCTACATAAGACGACACCCATGAATCATCATTCGTACTATGGCTACACTTTTGGATTCGCTTCATGGGAACCGCGTCAAGCATCTGCTCATCATCTTCTTACCGATTCTGGATGTAGGTTAGATAGCTAGTGATTTTCCTCCGTACCAGCTCATAGCACTCTTTTGGTGTCTTTTACAGCAGCTTTAGATTAGTCCCTCCCCTCTCTGTACAGGCTTTCGAGTGAAGTTGAATATACTGTGGGAGAGTGGTGCCAGTCTGTTGGCTGCCCCTTCATAGCATTTGTGACCTCACCCAAGGCCTGAAGCGGTGGGATTGAACTAAGGGTTCATGCCGGGGATGAAGCTGTGATATTTCATAACATTTTTAACCTCTCATAAGGCCTGGAGACTCGCAAGAGGTTCATGTATCTATACTTATATCACTATGCTAATGTCTGGAAAGAATAAGTCTCTGTACCCTTTCCTTCGAAATTATTTAAGAGGCGGAGGCCTGCATACCACTGGGTACATGTATAGTAGGCCATACTAAGTACCTAGCAATACTTAGGCAGCCAATTATCAGCGGAGTCCTAGTTTCTAATGAGCCGCATCTGCACTGCGGCCCAAGAGGTAAAATCCTTCACAACATTTTAACCTCACTGGAGTGGAGTTGCTTGGATGAAGTCATAAACGACTTTCACAGCATTTTTAACCTCTCCCAAGACCCGGAGACTGACAAAAGGTTCCAGTATCTATACTTTTAGCCTCATACTTTTGTCTGAAAAGATAAGCCCCGTCTCTATACCTCTTACTTTAATATAATAAAACTCTACCAATCATAAGCCCCTTTTCTTTCGAGCAGGTTTCTTTGGCTCCAACTCTTTGACTCGTTAACCCAATTATTGACTCTCGCGTTGTCATGGTCGAGGCCACGGCGTTTCACACCATTCTTGATCTCACTCGAGTCCTGGCGCTTTTCACAGCATTTTTACAATGCACTCAAGGCCTGAAACCCCCATTTCACAGCATTTCATACTCTGCCCAAGGCCCGGGGCTCACAAAAGACTATGTATCTATACCCTCAGCCTCATGTCATTGTCGTGAGAGAATAAGTCTCTATACCTTTTACTTCGAAACAATGTAATAGGCGAAGCTCTGCATAGGTAGGTGCCTACGATAGTAGGTAGTAGGCGGCAGCCTACCTAATTATGAGCTCTGCTGGCAAATCGGTACTTGACCGAATGAATGCGAATTCAAGCATCCTTAGCCCCCTCGAGAGAGTAACAACCAATCACTACCCCAGCACGGGAAACCTCGCATATTTCACAGCATTTTTAACCTCACCCAAGGCCTGAAGCGGCGAAATTAACTTTGGCATTCATGAGAGAGAGGCTCGGTGAAGGTACTCCCGATTCTTCACCACAGATGCAGGGCCCCCGATAAGCGCCGATAAGAGCTGCCGCCAGGAAATTTCTCCAAAGACACCCCACCTCCAACTCGCAGCCAACGACTCATCACCAGCTATCATCACAACACCTGATATAACCATTATCTGCTCTCATAAAATCTCCTTTACCCGTAATATTATCCAATTCCAAAACCCTCACATCATATCCTCACCCATAAAACCACCCAATTGAACCCCCCCAAAACAGCCACCATGTCCAACATAGACCCTGACCTCATGGACATTGTCAACGACAACCCCAAACTCGACCACGCCGACGCCGACAACAACGACGAAGACGACCCCATCACCGCAAGCTACCAAGTTTTCCTCAACCCAGCCCTCCCCCTCGGCCGCCGCCTCCTCGTCCTGCAGCACCCCAACCGCACCGACAGCACGCCTCGCCCGCCCCCCACCGAGCTGCGCCTCAAGGAACACTCCGGCATGGTCGAAATCGACATGCCCATGGACAACACCACCGCGTACGACCGCGAAAAGGGCCTCCGCTGGGGCCGCACGCTGCAAAACTCCATGGCCGTCAAGAATGGCGGCAGTCACGGTCTGGCGGGAGGTTTCGGTGTCGGCGCCGTCCAGCAGCGCGCGCCCAGGAAGAAGGGTGACGTCGAAGAAGACGAAAACCTCGACTGGAACGATGCCGTGCGTCAGGGTAAAGTCCTTAGCACGCAGACACTAGGTGGCCAGTATCCCGATACCGACGAAGTACAGTACATGGTCGGCGTCTTCCAAGGCAGTACGTTGCAAACCATTCTTTCTTTTCTCGGGATATAAATTCCCAACTAAACAAAAATTCTTCCCAAAACAGAGGACCTCCATCTCACCCCCGTCTCCAACCTCATCCACCTCCGCCCTCAACTGCACCACCTCGACGCCGCCACCGCGCAAGAACGCCAATCCTCCGCCGCCGCATCAAAGGACGGCGCAGCACCCGCAGCCCCCACCGCCCGCGCAATCCACATGACCATCAAGACCACCGCCGAAGGAGCAGACGGTGTTTCTACAGAGACAATGGCCGACCGCCTGCGCTCCGTGCAGACCGAGCCCTGGCGCAAGATGCGCTACACCGACGAGAACGAGGAGACTGCGTGGGAGGTCTACAACGATAGCTTGTTCCTCCGGCCGAGACCTGAGCCCGCGGGCGAGCAGGGTGTGCCTGCTGCGGATGCGGATAGGGATCTGGAGGAGCTCGTCCCGACGCTGGGCAACAAGTGGGATGACAAGCAGTTCCTTGAATCCATCAGCGGCATCAAGAAGCCCGATCCTGTGCCGGAACTGCCCGTTGAGAAGAAGCCGGAGCCTATTGCTGCTGTTGCTGCGCCGCCGGCAGAGGAGCCTCGGCAGACACCGAGGGCGACTCGTCCTAGAGCTGGTGCGGCTGCGGCGTTGGCTGCTCGAAGAGGTGGACGAGCGAGAGGCGCTTGATGATCTTAGAGTCGGTCATTATTCTTTTGCATGGAATCAGGTGTTTCGCGGAGTTTTTGGTTTTCTAATTGTCAAACATGTGCTATATCATATATATTTTTCCACTTGGGTGGTTGGATCTACATAAAATACAATATCAATCATACCCATCACTTAACACAACTCGAATCCAGTGCCCACACCACATCAAGTGATTTAATCAAGAAAAAAAAAGTTGCATTGTCCTCATATCGAGGATCGAAATTCGAGCTAAACGACTCACCCACAGCCACAGATTCTCCCCCATCGCGACTCGGTATCATCCCCATCCACTCGTTGGTATAGTAGTAGTACAGCATGACAAGATCAAACGATAATATCCCGCTCATTTGCCCACGGACTAGCAACCCTTGCAGCACTACAAGCTCCCTTTTTGAATAAATGCAAAACGACAAGTTTCCCTCCAAGTCGTCCAGATTATCTTTTTACCCATCCCATAGCACGAGCACAACAACTGCTAGTCCAATCCTTCCAACTTGCTTTACCCACTGCAATGATATCTAACGAAAAATATGTATTTTTATAGTCGAGTTTCTCTCACCAAATCATATAAAGACCAGCTCCCGGGTCCTGTTTTCGAATTTACTGTCCCATCAACATGTCCACGTCCAAGCCAATCGAGTGCAAGAACAAGTTGACGCTGCTAAGGCGCTCCGTTGCCATTGTGGGAGGGAGCGTCTTTGCCAGAGAGATGGTGCCAATGACACGATCCTTGACGGCAAGGACCAGACGAGTCTGTTGGTCGTTGCTGGCGCTGACTCCAAGAGCCGCGAGGAGCTGCCACACGTACACGTCTGATCCGGTGTTGATGCTGCCGGGGAACATGTAGGGCAGCGACATCTCGAGCCGGCTAAAGAAGATTTCATACGTTTGATCCCTAGGGAGAATATTAGCTACAATGTGCTTATACCAGTTGTCAGAGCATTTTAGCTGAGCTACTTACCATTTCTCCCACTGTTCAGGAGAGCCGCCGCCAGTCTGCTTGAGAAGCACGGCACGGCTGAGAATTAGTGTGAGCATAGAAACGCCGACTCTGGTCTTGGCGATGTGATCAACGTTCAGATTGGTGGCAATCAGGTTCAAGACGCCGTCCACAATATCCAGTCCTGTATCGTTAAAGTACTGCATCAACGATGGCATGACGGTAGACAGGAACAGGTCAATGTTCTCTCGCATTCTCGCGTTAAGAGTAGGCTCATCGTTGGTCACGGCGGCACCATTCACCACATCCAGCTGGTCGAGGTGGTAGACAATCATGGTCATGATGGTGGTGCGTTGTTCGAAGCTCAGATGAGGAAAGATTCGAGGGATAGCCTTCTTTCCTTTGGCGCAAGACAAAAAGGCAATAAAGGGGTGAGGAACGACGACCCCAATGGGCTCGTGCACCTTGAGTTCTTCCCAGAGCCGGGTGTTGAGAGCCTCCAATCCCGCTGCCCACTCTCGGTGCTTCTCCTGTAGCTCCTGGTCGGCTTGGTTCGTGATAGGAGGTGGCATGAGTCGAACGTGATCTTCGATCTTCATCAAGGTGACGTAGACCCGCTCGGCATTTCGCAGAATCGTCTTGCGGTCAAGGCCGTTGGCAGGCGACTTCTTTCCGCTTCCAGCTCGGTTGTGATGGGGCTCGTTCTCCGCTGCACGCTTGATGTTGAGCAAGGGCTTTGGGGTTTTGGCATTGCTAAAAGATATCTTGCCCAAGCTACCAGCGATGACGAGCTGGGGATTCTTGGGCTTGTTCTTGGCGGCCTCGACAGCTCGCTGGACCTGCTGCTCCATGCGCTGGATATGATTCTCCGCAGGCCTTCCGTGGCGGCGCATGTTTCCATGGCGGCCACCAGTCTGGAAGAGATAGGTTTGAGCAAAGTTGCTCAGAGGCTGGCTGGGGTTTTGACGTTGACCGGCACGAATGTGGCTATAGACTTGGTAGTAAAAGTCTTCCGAGAGAGAAGCGTCGGATCCCTGCTCGACAGGGTTGCCCGTGGCAGAGACGAGCTGTTGGAGCTGGATACGAGTGATGAAGTTCTTGTCTTGGGGAGTCATTACACCGTTGTCCTTGGAAAGCAACCAGATCTTGTGGTTGCGCTTGGCACGTTTGGTCTCTTGATCCAAGAACGCAACCTTTTCCTCCTCGGACATGTGGGCCAACTGAGGATGAGCGCTCAACTGCGCCATCTTCGCGGCGTCCTGTTGAGCAGCTGCTGCAATGCGCGCCTCGGTAGACATACGCTTGGGGTTTTGAAGAATCTGCACAGGCTGAACTGCAGGTGCAGGCTGCTGCTGAAGATTGTGGTATTGCTCCTGCTGCCCAGGAGGGGTGGGCAGCTTGTTGGCGAGAGAAGGCGAAGCCTTTGCTTGTGAGCCTTGAGGCCGCTGCAGGATGGTAACAGGTTGCGGCTGGCCGTGCTGAGGGTGAGGAGATGCATGCTGAGCAGGTGGGTAACCAGCAGAGGCTTGTTGGTACGAAGCAAGCTCGGAGACTGCTGGCTGCGGCGAGGGCTTGACTTGGGCGCGCATGGCTGCTTCGACTTCTTCCAGGCTCATCACCTTTCTTCCAACACTGGCCGAAAGCGCGGGCTGGGGAGAAGGCTTTGGGATTGGGATAGCCGCTGCCTTGGAGGGGCCAATGCCCCAGATGCTCTGGTCGACATGCAGATCGGGGAGAGGCTCGGGCTCATTGTACTTTTCGTATCCGGTCCGATGAGGCCGTGTCGATATGGGTTCGGCATAGTAAGACGGATGCTGTTCATAGGCCTGTTGGCCATACGCCTGCTGCCCGTACGCCTGCTGTCCATACGCTTGCTGTTCATAGGACTGCTGCGCATACGACTGGGAGGGTATGCCGATGGGCTGAGCCTGGGTCTGGGAAACATTGGCTCGTGCGGCTGGTTGCAACCGGTTGAAGCGAAGATGCTCCTCCTCGATGGCATCGGCAACCTTGGCCGTCTGACCAAAAAAGTCAAAGTCTTTGCCAACCTTTGCGGCACCAGAACCAGAATCGGCAGGGCCACCGCCAAACGTGTCGTCGTTGAAAGCATCGTCGGCATCGTCTAGCTGATCTCCAAGACCATCATAGGTGTCTTCGAAGTCGAGGGCATCGCCGCCGTCATCGTGGTGACCAGAGAGGCCAGCGAATGGATCATGCGGTTGGGAAAAGCCTGGGGCGGCCGTGTTATGCCCACGGCCGCTGGTATCGAAGCCGAAGAAAGACATGTTGGATTGTTGAACGAGGAATTATATGTTTAACATACTAGTAATGATGGTGTTAGTCTGGTGGACAAGGTTTTGTATGCAAAAAGTTTCAAGAAGTAGAGAAAGGTTCGCGAGGCTTAATTAGACTCTGAGCTGCTAAGAGCGGTAGAATCTGCCAAAGCTAAAGGGTCGGTGGTGAGCTGGAGTGATTGTTGAGCCCCGGAGTGGCCCCGCAATTCTGCGCGCGATGTGTTGTCTTGCCCATCCGACAAGGCTGAAAGGGACGAGGCCTCGACAAGGCTCGAATATCGGACGCAGCTTCCCCTCCTCAACGACTCCCCACCAGTGGCTGGACAGAATGGCTCTCGCGATGGTGTACAACAGGGCAAAGGCAGCAAAAGGCAACGTACCGCTAAGATAGTGAAGGGATGGCGAGGACTTGAAAAGCGCACAAACCTATCATGGTGTCTTCCCGCTGCGACGCCGAGGATGTCCAAGAGCACGAGCAAGAAGCTGACCAAACGCGGAGCTCCTTGTCAAAATGCGGCCTGTCCAACAAGGCGCAGCTGAGCGGCGATCCAGAAACTCGAGACGGTGAAGCGAGAGCACGGCGCCTGGAGGCCAATTGTGCGGTTTTGGTGAGAGACTGACGTCCTCGAATAGAAACCAAACCCCCACATGTGGGAGGGAAACAGAACAGTCAGCCGGCGTGGAGTCACGTGGCCTCGCGCATGGAGGGGCAACGAGAACGAGATGCATAAAATCCAATCGTGTATTATCTATGAGATATAATCATGAGAAGATTTATTTTTATAAAACATGAAACGGTAGATTATTACAAACTACGTCAATTAGATGGATATCAAGGTTATTGTGGCTCTTTTTTTTTCTCGAATTATGTGGGAGACAAAAACTCGACTATTTGTTTATGGATACCTACTGGATCGATAGTGTAGATACTATTAGGTGGTCCATCTCTATGACTCCATACAGACAAGGTGAAGAAAACAATAGTTCAATATTCTCTGAGTATTTTTCTCCAAGTAATACCTAGGAGATATCCAATTCATTGAGGATCTGCTACCAGAGCTATATTCCTCCAGCATAGCATTACCACTATGTGTAGGTAGCTGTATGTTTGAGACATGGAATGCTGGATAGCTGAAGAGCCACTCCCTTCTTCTCGCTGCCAGGTAGATACATATGGAGTTGTGACGTGTTTCATTTTTGGACTCTCGCTTGGCTGTGTACCAGTGTCTGATCGTCTCAAGCCATTCAGCAGCCAATCTCCTACATGACGAGATCGGATACCCAGCTTACGAGTACTTGTACTGAGTCTTTGGACAAGGATGACCCGTACGTGCATGTACATGTGCAGTACCATGTAGGGGTCCGTAACAGGCATCCGCCGATCTAAGTCCATCAATTGTTGCTCTGGTTATAACAATCATTGTTGCATTTGCATTGAGTGGTTTAGTTTGTCTACAAGGCCTCACTATGCTACGAATCAAAGGATGTTATGTAGTGCATACCTAGGAAGTATATACCCTCACGAATTCAGCCACCAGACGTGTACATTGAATCATTCCACGATCCTTCCGCCGAGCTAGTCGACAGGGTTGGGCGACGATCAGTGCTGAGCCTCCACTGCGAAACAGCAGTGCGCTAGTGGTTACAGGGGCTTCAGTTACAGCGAGAGATCCAATGCCACCTAGAGCAGAGGGATTGAAACGGACCATGGATTTGCTGTTGGTTGGCGAGGTGCATCGCGTGCCAGCCATTGTACGACCAAGAATCTCCTTTTGGGGCTGGCATCAAGTCAGGTACCACCTCGGTACTGCTCTGTACTCTGGCATCGTCTCTCATACCGCTTCTTCTTGCTCCATGTCGCACCAAATCAAGCAGACAGCAATTTGAGGCCTCTGTTGGGCTGGCCAGTCAGCCCCCTTTGCCATTTCCCGGCACTGCACAGCACTGCTTAGCACAGCCTTACCCGCCCAAGATTCCGGATTGCCGTCTCCTGAGCTTGAGCCTGAGCAGCAACAATTTCCATGATCCATCGAGTTGATTTAATCTGTACAGAGTGTACTGGGTACTATAAGGGGTACGGCCAAGGTACTTGTCGATACTCCAGCTGCCTTAAAGTACATGGGCCCAATCGCTGTAGCTTTACCGGCCACTGCCACTTCAAAGGGGCCAATCTGTCTTTACGAGCGCATGTACCGGCCGCGTACTTGATAACGCCAATAGCTCCCTGCAGTTGACGGTTAGGGGATTTTAGCACACGCAAGCCTGGCCGGCGCTGCTGGACTCAGCTGCGTAATGCCGGCCGAGTCGTCTGCAGCTGCTAACCCGCTACTAGCAAGATACGAGGCGCTCTCTGGAACCTGAAGGATTTCCCTCCCACTTATTATCTACGGATACCCGCCTCAATCTTTGTCCTCCTTTTCATCTTCTCTCGTTTCAAGCCCTTTTCTTTTCTTCATTGACGACTTTCATCATCACCAACTTGCTGCTCTGGCTGCCCGATCCAAACCAGCCAGCGGCCCGACTCGAATTTCCTCCTGCACGGGGCTCCCTTCAATCTCTAGCGATTCGACACAACCCGGCCATGTGCGTCTAACAGCATCTGTCCACGATCCCAGACGCTGTGCGCCACCCCTGTCTCGATTGTTTCTCCCCATCCCAGAAACAAAAGCGGCTCCTTTTCCACTCTCCATCGACATCGTTGATTTCTTCCAACCGCTCGTCTTCTTCCTGGCAATTGTTGCCGCCCACGCACCATCATGGCGTCTGCAAATGCGCGCTATGTGCGCTACCTGCTTATCGCATTCTTTGTACGTGGCTCCAAGATCCCCGACCCATTTAACGCAAAAGGCAAAAGGCACGGTGACGCATGCACAATGGGGTAAATGCTAACCTGGATGCAAAGACGCTTCTAGTCTTCTACTTCGTCTCCAATTCAAAGTACGAGGGCGTGGACATTAGCAAGGGCGCCTTCACATCGGGCCCCAACCAGCAACCCCAAGATGTCTCCAAGCCCACGCCTCCAAAGGCTCCCTCTGGCAATGCAAAGGACTTTCCTCTTGCCCTGACCCCGAACGACCCCGGATTCAACGACCTGGTGGGCATTGCCCCCGGCCCCCGAGTCAACGCCACCTTTGTCACCCTCGCCCGAAACAGCGACGTCTGGGATATCGCTCGCTCGATCCGCCAGGTCGAGGACCGCTTCAACCGACGATACAACTACGACTGGGTCTTCCTCAACGACAAGCCCTTTGACAGCACCTTCAAGAAGGTAACGACGTCTCTGGTGTCCGGCAAGACATACTATGGCGAGATTGCTCCCGAGCACTGGTCCTTCCCCGAGTGGATTGACCAGGACAAGGCCAAGAAGGTGCGAGAGGACATGGCTGAGCGCAAGATCATCTACGGTGACTCGGTCAGCTACCGCCACATGTGCCGCTTCGAGTCGGGCTTCTTCTTCCGCCAGCCCCTGATGCTGAACTACGAATACTACTGGCGCGTGGAGCCCTCCATCGAGCTCTACTGCGACATCCACTACGACCCCTTCCGCCTCATGGTTGAGAATGGAAAGAAGTACAGCTTTGTGCTGAGCTTGTACGAGTACCCGGCCACCATTGCCACTCTGTGGGAGAGCACCAAGAAGTTTATGAAGAACCACCCTGAGCACATTGCCGAGGACAACTCGATGAAGTTTTTGAGTGACGATGGTGGTGAAACCTACAACAACTGCCACTTTGTAAGCATACCCCCTTGATTGGTTTCGAGCTAGAGTAAAGCTAACCGGAGATGACAGTGGTCCAACTTTGAGATTGGCAGCTTGGAGTGGCTGCGAAGCAAGCAGTACATTGACTTTTTCGAGTCCCTGGACAAGGACGGCGGCTTCTTCTACGAGCGATGGGGAGATGCTCCCGTTCACTCCATTGCCGCCGGCCTGATGCTCAACAGGAGCGAGATTCAGTTCTTCAACGATATTGCCTACTGGCACGTCCCCTTCACTCACTGCCCCACTGGCGAGAAGACAAGAATCGACCTTCGCTGCCATTGCGATCCTAAGGAGAATTTCGATTGGAAGGGTTATTCTTGTAAGTCGGCCCTTACTGATCGTAGTATGGGAGAGTGCGAGCATTTGCTAACTGTTGACATAGGTACGTCCCGGTTCTTTGACATGAACGGAATGGACAAACCCGAGGGCTGGGAAAACCAGAAGGATTAGAGAATGGATGGAAAAGCTTTTATACTTGACACGAGCAATCAAGTTTTCAATGGGACGGGCGAGTACGCTTAGTTATTCTTACTCGAGTTTAATTCGCAGGCACGTCTCACACATCAAGTGCATGTGCATGTATGTGCATGCACGCATGAACTAAAGGGGGACTATGAGAAGAGACGAAAACAAAAAAAGGGAATGGTATTTTTTTAAACTGCGGGAGGTATAAAGGGGCGTCTGTGTCTGCTGGCTTTACACGATTTGGACAATGATTGCTGGTGTAAATATAGTATAGGGTGAAATGGAAAGTGAGGGTGTTTGTTTGACGTAACTTGCCGTTCCAAGGTGTGATTATATGTTGCTCTTTTTCATATGTATTGTACAGTGCTCGTCTCTTGTGCTGCTCTATGGTATTTTTATACATGGCGGTCCAATGTCTAGATCAACATTTCCCTCATCTGCGCAAGAAATCCGTCATTTTCATATATCGTTTCCTCTCCATCCACTCATACACCGGCTCAACCAACAGTAGCCTTCTTGGGCTTCTTGGTACCATATTTACTCCTGCTCGTCGTTCTACTCGCAACACCACCCTAAAACACACTCAAGTCAGCTCAACGCACTCACTCTGAAATCCCAAAAACCATAATTTCAATCTCAAACATACCAAATCCAATGCTCCTCGCACCAAATGATACCGCACACCAGGACAATCCTGCGCCCTCCCTCCCCTCACAAGCACCACACTATGCTGCTGGATATTGTGCCCTTCACCAGGGATATACGCCGTCACGACGGCTCCAGAAGATAACTTGACACGCGCAGTCTTGCGCTCACCGGAATTGGGCTTCTTGGGCCTCACGACGCCGACACGTAGACACACGCCCTTGAGGGCGGGACAGTGCGTGTTGGACAGCGCGGGCGAGACGGCGTGACGAGCTCGCTTGCCCTTTCGGATGCCGCGCAGGACTTGGTTGAGGGTGGCTTGCGGGGCGGGGGTTGTTGAGAATGCGCGCTGGGCGAGGGAGAGAAGCGGCGATTGGAATCTGGAGGCGATGGGGGATATTGATGTTGAGAGGAGAGTCGTCGATGTGAGGGATTGGCGGGCGGCGGGGGAGAAGAAGCTGCGGAGGAGTGCGGAAGCCATGATGGGCTGCGCAATTGGGGGGTTTTGTTTGCTCTTAAAAGCAACCTTCCCCTAGTTCTGTTGCGTGCGCAATTGAGTTATTGGCGATTGTCGTTGCGCCTCTGCTATCAATCCAACCATCAATATGCAGCCATCACCAAATCTTGCAAGTGGACTGAAAGAGCAGTCACATGACCTTGAAAAAATCCCGGAACCCCAAATCAGCCGCATTCCGACAACACAAAAACGGTACCTCGCACAATGTACCTTTTTTTCCCACCCACTCGCGCGACATGTGAAAAGGGTCCCATCTCGGTGCGGCTAAATCCCGGCTCTTTATCTACCCTCACCCCACGTTACAATTCCTCTTTTCACCTGTCTGCCCCGCTGCCCGTCGGCGTCGGTATAGCGGCCCCGGATAGAATGGTTATCCTCGGCTGAATCCACCGACAACCACAAGTCAACGAACCAGCTGGGGTAAAAAAGAGAAGTGAAGAGCCGGGCCCGGCGATAGTCGATTGCTTATACCTTCTCTCCCTTTTTTTTTCTTCTCTTTTCTTTTCTATTTATCCCTAGCCTCGCTGTCTTTATTTTCGTTTCCATTCTTCTCATTGCGTAGAGCTGATAGCTTCCATCTCATCTCTCTCCCCCACATCCTCTCCCACCTCTTCTCAGAAATCATGTCATCGTCATTCACACGGGCCCTGCGCCCTGCCCTTCGCTCCAGCCGGGCCCTCGCCCAGCGAAGCTCCGTCGCCAGCGTCCTCCGTCCAGTCATCCGAAGCAATGTGTAAGAAAGAAGCACAGCATCAATATCAATTCATCAACAGCTAACAATGCCACCAGCCCCATCCGCCATCTCGCCACAACCACCCCCAGACTCTCCGCCTCTCCCATCGACATCTCGGAAATCCCCCCCACGCCCATCTCCCACCTCTCCGAGATCGAGGCCGCCATGACCGAGTCCGTCTCAAAGTTCGCCACCGACGTCGTCCTCCCCAAGGCCCGCGAGATGGACGAGGCCGAGGCCATGGACCCCGCCATTGTCGAGCAAATGTTCGAGCAAGGCCTCATGGGCATCGAGATCCCCGAGGAGTACGGCGGCGCGGGCATGAACTTTACTTCCGCAATCATCGCCATTGAGGAGCTCGCCCGTGCTGATCCCAGCGTCAGCGTCATGTGCGACGTCCACAACACGCTCTGCAACACGGCCATTATGAAATGGGGTTCTGAGCATATCAAGCGCACCTATCTCCCGCGCCTGGCCACCGACACCGTCGCCTCCTTCTGCTTGTCCGAGCCCGTCTCCGGATCAGACGCCTTCGCCATGGCCACCCGCGCAACTGAGACTGCTGATGGCTTCGTCCTCAACGGCTCAAAGATGTGGATCACAAACTCCGTCGAGGCCGGCATCTTCCTCGTCTTCGCCAACCTCGACCCGTCAAAGGGCTACAAGGGCATCACCGCCTTCGTCGTCGAAAAGGGCACCCCCGGATTCTCCATCGCCAAGAAGGAGAAGAAGCTCGGCATCCGCGCCAGCAGCACCTGCGTCCTCAACTTCGACGACGTCCACGTCCCCAAGGAGAACATCCTCGGCGAGCGCGGCCAGGGGTACAAGTACGCCATCAGCATCCTCAACGAAGGACGCATCGGCATCGCCGCCCAGATGACCGGCCTCGCCCTGGGGGCCTGGGAAAACGCCGTCAAGTACGCCTGGAACGACCGCCGCCAGTTCGGCTCCCTCATCGGCGAGTTCCAGGGCATGCAGCACCAGTTTGCGCAGGCGTACACTGACATCGCTGCCGCACGCGCCCTCGTCTACAATGCCGCCCGCAAGAAGGAGGCTGGCCAGGACTTTATCAAGGACGCTGCCATGGCGAAGCTGTATGCTTCGCAGGTTGCTGGCCGCGTGAGCAGCCTTGCTGTTGAGTGGATGGGCGGCATGGGCTTTGTGCGCGAGGGCCTGGCTGAGAAGTTTTTCCGTGACAGCAAGATTGGTGCCATTTACGAGGGCACGAGCAACATTCAGTGAGTTTCATCTTCAGATAATTACAATGTGTATGAGGAGTTCAAGAGGCTAACGTGATTTACCAACAGGCTCAACACCATTGCCAAGCTGCTGCAAAAGGAGTACACCAACTAAGAAAATCGAAAAGACGGAAGCAACGAAACAATAACATGTAAACGAACAAGGAAAAAAAAAAATTATATATAGACGTAAAAGAAGAGGATCTCTATAGTCTCTAAATAATCCCATAGAAGCCAATTCTCATCACGATATTCTTAATCACCAACTCATTCACATACATTACTCTAAAATCTCACATTCAGATCGACATCACACAACAAGGCTCAACTCAATCAACTAATACTATCGGCATCACACAACAAGACTCAAATCAGTCAATTACTTCATAAGCATAGCATCAAATTCTCTATTAGTAGGTATACTTCTTACGCTAACAAATTCCCCCGCAAGCAACAATGGTAGGTAGTTTCTTCTCCGCTGAAGATGAAGATTGAATGTTGAAAATAACAAAATGCGCGACAATCAGTTTTTAAGTAAGTAAAGAAAAAATGAAGAGGAGTTCCCAAGTCCCAAAGAGATTTGCTTTTCTTTCAAGACGTAAGAAAAAAGAAAAGAAAGTCGCCCTTTTAAGAATGGAAAGTAAAAGACTCAAGGCAATCAAAAAACGTAGCCTGGCGAGCGACGGAAAAGACATCTCCCTTTTGTTAAAGAAAAAAAAAAGAAGAAAAGACACAAAACGCTCGTCAAAATCTCTTCTCCTTCTGAAAGTATTACCAAAAGGCCATCATATCGTCTCGCCGTACTAGTCTGTAAAGATCCATTGGGCACCTCGCGGCACCCCATCCCGGCTGCTGCTGGATAGCAAGAAGAAAGCCCACGTGTATAGAGCCGCCGCCGCCATTAATCTTTTAATTCCACTAGTTGTCTTGGTCAAACTCTGTTCGTTTCTACTATTCCAAGTCCGCCGTGTAGCTGAATCCTCGGAACTCTTCTTGCATTGCTTGAGAAAGCACTGTAGCAGGTGTTAGTTAGCATAGCGCGACAGACCACAAGAGGGCAAAAGGCAGCATAGAACTTACCAGACTGGACTGGGGTGAGAACAGGAGTAACGCTGGTAAACTCGGAGTCAAAGTTGCTCGTATCCGTAGCACTCTTGATCTGGGGCAGGAACGGCGGCTGGACTCTCTTGTGGTAAATGTCGTCCCAGTTGATGTTGCGGAAGAAGGGCTGGCTCATGATCTCCTGCGCGTCGGTAGGGCCGCTTCCGAGTCGCTGGTCGGGTTCTCGGGTGAGCAGTTTCTGAAGAATGGACACGGAATCCCTAGGCATGTGAATCGGGTAGAGGGGCTCATCAGCGAGAATGGCGTCGTAAATCTCGTCTTCGTCTTCACCTCGGAAGGGAGACTGCTGCAGAAGCATCTGGTAGATCAAGACTCCAAAGGCCCACCAGTCGACCGCGCGGCCATACTTCTTGTCCAACAAAATCTAGTCGGTTGATGTTAGCACTCATTGCAAAGACAACTAAAAAGGGGGGCGTGTGCTTCATACCTCAGGGGCCATGAACTCTGGAGTTCCGCAGAATGTGCTCGTCGTTGAGCCATACCACATGTCTTCCTTGCAAAGACCGTAATCGGCAATCTTGATGTGGCCATCGAGCGTCAACATGATGTTGTCGAGCTTCAAGTCACGGTAGATGACACCGTTCTCGTGGAAGTACTTGAGGGCCAAGCAGACTTCGGCAGCGTAAAACTGAGCTCGCTTGGTACCAAATTGGCCACGCTGGATGTGAAGCATCAAATCACCACCACTAATGTACTCCATCACAAAGTAGACACGGGTTTCGGTCTGGAAACAGGCATGCAGGTTGGTCAAGAACGGATGCCTCTCGCGGTTGGCAATGAGGAACACTCTCTTCTCCGACTTGATGCTCTCCACTTCGTCGTTCTCAATGATAAACTCCTTCTTAAGCACCTTGATGGCGAACAGTCGCCTAGATCGCTTCGTTTCTGCCAACATGACCTTACCAAAGTTACCTTTTCCAAGAACGGCAAGGAAGTTGAAGTGATCAAGACCAATACGCGCGCCGGTGCCAGGATCGGTGGCAGACGGCAGAGCCTTGCGCTGGGCACCTCCAGGCCCTGTGGCAGCTCCCTGAGGAGACACGGGGGACTGCGGCTTCGGGGCGGCAGGTTGCTGGTACTGGGGCTGGTTGGGTTGCGGCGGCAGCGCTTGTTGGGGGGGTGGCTGCTGAGGGGGCAACTGAGGAGGAGCCTGTTGCTGTTGTTGTTGCTGCTGAGGAGGAGGAGCAGGTCGTTGCTGAGCTGGCGGCTGGGCACCGAATCCCTGATCCACATTGGCATAGTCCGCCGGGTTGTACTTGTGGTGCTGGGGAGCTGCACCGCCATATCCTCCTTGAGCATATGGATCCTGCGGTGCGGTGTCGTATCCGGTGCGGCCCTGGGCGGCGGCCATGGCTGCGGTGGCCGCGGCGGCAGCAGAGAGGTCAGAGGGCGCACGGCCGGGGTGATCAGGTCGCTGAGGCGATGTCTGGTTAGCATACATGAGACGTGCTGCCTCGGTAGCCTCTGCGGAGGGGGTTCCGGGAGACGAGCCAGCACCCGCGCTCGAGAACGACGCAGATGATCCGTGGCCGGTGGTCGTCGGGCTCTTGCTGGCGCCAGATCGCAGCGTCTTTTCCGACAGCGACGTCGTCTTTTGCTGTCTCTGCTTCTGAACCCTTATACCCTCGAGGATTTGGTTGGCGACAGCCATGGACATGCCACAGAAGTCGGGAACCAGGTGGACACACTGGGCGTGACACGTGAGGCCACATTCTATCAAGCTGTTAGTCAAGTTTTCTCGGATGGAAGAAGTGAATACGAGTAGCATGGTGGCTTACCTGAACACTTTCGACAATTCTTTTTGCCAAAAGGCAGTATGTAACCGCAGTGACAGCACCAGTTGGCCGTGACGTTGGAAAAGGGTTGGAACCTGTGGGGAATGCGGTGGTTGATCTTTTCCTCGTCAGGATCGGTCTCAGCATTGCTCTTACTGATACACTTGGTAACAACGCTAGAGTAGCACTTGTTGTGACAAGTGTACT